TCATCACCACCACGACCAACACCACTGTCATCACCACCATCACCAACAACCTCATCACCACCATCACCAAAGACATCACCATCACCATGGTCACTATCATAACCACTGCTACCATCACCTCCGCCACCATCATCACCGTCACCACCATCTTTACCACTACCCCATCACTGTCACCACCACCAATACCACTACCACCATCGTCACCATCACGGCCAATGCCATCACCATTGTCACCCACAACACCACCATGGCCACTATCAAAACCACCGCTACCGCCACCTCCACAGTCACCGCCACATCGCCACCACCATGACCAACACCATCACCACCAACATCACCAAGACATCACCATCACCATGGCCACTATCACAACCACCGCTACCGCCACCTCCACCTCCATCACCATCATCACCATCATTGCTCACATTCAACCACCATCACCAGCACAACACCGCCATGTCACTATCACCACCAACAACTTCTAGCCACTGCCTCTCCTAAACTCATAAAGACAATCTTTTATATTTCGACTGCATTTTGTAAAGTGCTTTCCTATTTCCTATTTCTTTACAGATGACAAATCCAGGGCTGGTGGTGGGGCAGTAACTTGCCTAAAGTCACAGAGAGTGTGGGCTGCTCAGTTCAGGAAACTGGATTCAACCTTTAGACTGGTTCCAAAGGTGTTCCTGAGGGATTACTACCCATTCCACAGTTGATACTCAGAACTCCCTACAAGGAGAGTCCTTGGAATATTGGAACTCAAGGTGATCTTAGCTTACATTTTTTCCACATTTTCATTATACTAAGGGCAAGACCAGAGAGGGTGAGAGGCAAGTGAAAAGTCACACAGCAAGTTACCAATGGAGAGGCCCCTCCTGCTCAGTTCCCCTTGGCCCATTTCCCTGTGGCTGAGTCAAGCCTGGGGAAGCCTCCAGTGAGGCAGGTCTGACCAAACACCCGTGTTCCTCTCTGGCTGTGTGCTGAGCTCATCCTGCTACAGCTGCAGAGGGGATTAGCACTTCAGTTCTATTTTTAGGAAACAAACATTTTCCCACAACTGGTTTGTTGCAGGCTAATTTGGATCCATCCCAGGTTACTCATTTTTACACTCCAGGGGGAAAATGAATGTCATGAGCAGGCCTGGAAGGAAGGGGGTCCCCAGGTCACATGCAAATCTCTCTGCTTCTCCAGGAAGAGGGAGCCGCCCAATGCTGAGGCGAGGCCCCACCCTGCCCTGCCCCTGCAGGACACCCGCAGGCCTGGGATCTGCACGGCTTAGCTGCAAGGTGCCCAGTACTCTGCTCCTGGGTCACGCACATCCTGCTCAGATGCGGGAAACTACTACGGCCCCGCTGCAAAGTCAAGTCCTGGGCGCAGTGCGAAACCAGGGCCTGGGCTCCAGCAGGGTCAGAGCGAGGGCAAGATGTGCAGACTCAGGCAGGCCTGAGTTCAAGCCCTGGCTCTGCTTCTTCTTACTGTGTGAGCCTGGGCCAGTTCCTTGACCTCTCTGGTCTGCAGGGATTTCTATCAGTACCAAAGAGGAACGTGCTGGAGAGCTCTGGGCATGTTGTCCGCAGACACTGAGCTGGGACGGTTCCTTTCCACGTCCCTCAAGGGCAGGGACCTGATTCAACCTTTCGTCTCCGGGGCCTGGCCCAGGAAGGCACTCGGATTGAGTAGATTCCCATGTGGGGGAGCAGAGATTCTCTGGCTCTTCACTCAACAGAGTTTGGTCACCTCCTTGGTGCCAGGCCCGGGGCAAATATCCACAGGGCTCTGCATCCCCTGGGGGCTCAGGCCCAGCCTGGGGCCAGGGACAGCTTTCAAGGGCAGGGGATGGCTGTGGGGATAGCTGAGGGCCAAGTGGAATAAAGCAGGTGATCGGGAGGAAGAAGGGAAAGTCTTAGACAGAACAGCACGTGCAAAGGCCCAGGCGCAGAACGAGGCCGGTGCAAGGAATGCGGAACGCTCAGGGTGAGGCTGGATGGCTGTGTAGGGCAGGGACATAGATTGCTGCTGAGTGGAACTCACAGGTGGAGCTTCAATTTTGGCGGCTGCTGTCAAGAGCTCCTGCCCAGCTGCCCGAGCAGGCGTGAGCGTCCCTTCCAGCCCCCAGGGCTGCCCACAGATATACTCACCCGGATGCCAGTGATGCCAGGGGGCCCAGGGGGCCCATCCTCGCCCTTCAGCCCTTCCTGTCCTTTCTCACCACGGTCACCATCAGGCCCTGGGTCCCCCCTGTCCCCCTGTGTCAGGAGGGCAGGAGGAGCAGAGAGAGAAGTACAGATGAGTCACCGGATCACAAGAGCCCCAAGCCCCAGGGCTGCATGGCATCCACAGCCACCCACCCTGGGTTTCCCGACAGATCTGTGAGCTGCGCAGAGGGCCAGGGCAGGGCCAGCCTGGCCGCCCCAGGAAACACTGCAGCCATGATGGCTTCCCTGTCCCAGCATGCACCGGGCCAGGGCCAGGGCTCAGAGAGAAGCCACCATGTGACTACAGCCCACCTAGCTGTTCCCGGGACAGACCAGGTTTGGAGACGCCATTGTTTCCCCAATTTAGACATGCGGGGAGGACAGGAACCAAGTGAGAATCTGACTGAGGGAGAAAATGAGCCACAGAGGCCCCTCAGAGCCAGCTCCATTTGCTTCTCTGAGGGGCTTTTGTAGCCCTTGCTCACACGACCCCAGTTACAGTAATACCATTGACAAAGACCAGGCCAGGCTTTCACGGCTGGGGCCTAGGCCTGGAGCAGAGACACCGCCCTTCTGAGGCCACGCAGGGGTCAGCAGGAAACTCCGATCCAAAGGCCTAGTCCAAAGGCCTAGTGTGTGGCCATGTGTGTCCCACTTGCTGCCCCAAATGCCTTGTGCTACCGTGACCTCGATGTCGTGCTGCTGTCTGCCCTGCGCGGCCGCCATCCCCCTACTGTAGGACAAGCAGACGGCCACCAGCATCGGCACAGCGCTTCCTGGGTCTGGGCCAATGTTGGGTCTTTTTGCATGGATCAACTAACTCGGTCCTCCCAGAAGACTCTCAAAGTACAGGCTCTTTCTGTCCTATTTACAGACGAGGACTCGAGGCAGAACCAAATTCAATCATTTGGCCCTAAGGACCCCAGTGGTACAGGCGCTGGAGTGGGCAGCAGGGGTTTAGATACCTGGCTGGTTCCCTCAGAGAATAAGCCCAAAGGACTCTCTCCTTGGAGCTGCTGGGGTGTTACGCCGTGGTGTTCCTGGGACTACAGGGGCCTGGGGGCGCCTGAGGTTCTATCCCAAGAAAAGAATCCTCAGCGCGGGCCTTGGGGGTGAAGGCACGGGCTTTCATGGTCCTCCGCGAGAGCTGGCTTTGTGAAGAGGTTTTGGAAAAACCAAACTGTGCTGAGTTTGCCCTGGCTCATGTGTCGCCTCCCATCTTCCTGGGGACAGCAGGTAGGTTGGGCTCTTGTAGGGCAGAGTGTATTACCCTGGGCATGGGGGGGCGGGGAGTATGAGGGGTGAGTTTGGGCAGTGGCTGCAGGGCTGAGGGAGAGTCCGTGAGAAAGCCGTCTCCTGCCAGCTGGCAGGCCTGATGGCCTCGGGCAAGTCTGCTTATGGCTCAGCGGTGACAGGTCGGGAGGCTGTAAGAAGAGCTGGGCACGGAGGCACACGAGTGAGCAAGGGACAGATCACGGCAGTGGGCGGGGAAAAACAGCGTGGCTTTGCCAGTTTTGTTTCCCAGTTACAAAGGACACGGATAACCACGTGCACAGAGAGGGCAGGGTGCAGAGGGCCGGCAGGAGGAGGCTGGGGCTTGTCCTGCCTTAGTAGAGACTTGGAGAACACGACTACTGTGAGCTCATCCCTGTGCCCAAGGGCAGGACGCAGGAGGGCAGTGGCCGGGCACTTTCCAGCTCAGCCTGGAGACACCACCTCACACAGCCTGGGAGGGGCTGGTGCAGAGCAGGTCCGAGCAGCAGGTGGGCTTCTGAGGTCCCTTCCCGCTGGGATTCTCAGGTTCCAAGCCCAGCCTGGCACGAAGGGAGGGACCTGCCTCAGATACGCTTTCAGCCTCGTCTGGCTCCAGCACTCGGCTCCTGGCTTGTCTCTCCTGGCCACCAGCTGTCCTGGCCCTCAGGAGGGCGCCTGTTCCCAGCGGCAGGCTTGTTTTCAAGGATGGCTGAACTCCAGAAATGGCCACCCCCCACCCCTCAGCCTGGGCTGCCACAGCAAGGTGGGGCTGCTTGTGGATACCATGCAGGATGGGTTCCGGGAGTACCCAGGGATGCCCCAAACCCTTGGATGCCTGCCAGTGCTCTGCAGAGCCCTCACAGTTGCCTGGATCAAACCTCTCAATTTACAGACGGGAAAAAATGAGGGTCACAGGTGGAGACTCCAGCACAAGGAGAACCCAGCCTCTGCTCCTTCCAGTGACCAGGATCTGTGCTCCTCGTCCTTGGGTCATGCTCCCTAAGGGTCCTCGACTGCTGACGGCCCTGGGCAGTTTCCTCATTTGTGAGTAAGGATCAAAGGGCACACGAGGAAGGGTGGAAAGAAACCCTATAGACAGCTTAGCCCAGTGCCTGGCCAGGAGCACCAGACACAGGAGAATGATTATCGGTCACAGTGTCCACTGTCACCAACAGATGGTAGAGAGACACTGGGCATGGAAGTTCCCTACAGACTTTAAAGTGCTGCACACATCCTAGAGGTGGTCTTCCCCATGAGGGGACTGCAGGAAGGGAACAGTCTCTCCCCGGACTCATGGGAAGCCCGGGGACCATGCAGGTGCACAGCACCTGAGTGACTCTTCTGGTCCAAGTAAGAGGACAGAACTGGTTTGAGGGAGTAAAACAGGGAGAGGACAGGGCTGAGGAATTCTGACAAGGAGAGGGAGAAAGACAAAGGGAGACAGCCACACCTGCAAGACGCTGCCCATCCCACCCTGGCAGATTCCACGGAGAAGCGGTGACCCAAAAGCGGAGAGACGAGGCTGTGGCATCATGCCCCAGTTTCCTCATCTGTCAGGTGGGTGTGGATATTCTGGCTAAGAAGACTCACGGGTCAGGGAATACAAAGGTGGGGGTCTTGACCATGGGCGGTGCCTGGCACACAGCAAGTGCATAGAGCCCTTGACCCCAAGGGTTGTCGCTGTCACCACACAGTGGATGGCACCTGGCCAGGGTCATCTAATGCGCAAAGCCCCGCCAGGACCCAGCAGGACCCTAGAACTCAGCAGGGCTGGGGGAAGAGAAAGTAGACAGGGGGCAGACAGGGGGCGCACTCACCCTTGCAAGAAAAAGCACCAGCAGGAACGGACCCAGGGCAACTGTGGGAAGGCGTAGTAGGGGCGGGAGTCTGGGGATGGGGAAACTGAGGCCCACAGAAGGGGAATGCTTATCGAGGTCACGTGGAAAGTAGGGGGTCACGGAGGGGGTTGGGGATGTGGCGCTCAGGACCTTGGGGAGGGAAGCTGACTTGCACCGCGTGACAGGTCCACCATGGGGCCAGGCTGGTCCTAAGACAGAAGTGGGGCCAGGCCAGGGCTGCAGGGGGGCTGGTGAGTCAGAGAGGTGCCCCCCTGCAAGGCTGCACCTCAGGAGGGCACCCAGCACGTGGGACTGACAGAGCAGCAGGGCCGAGCTTGGCCAGCAGGCTTTGGCACCTGTGAACCGCGGTTTACGTTTCAGCTCTCCACTCCCAGCCACAACATGTGAGTGAATCTCTTTCTGCTCCCTGACAGCCTCCGCTCCTCACCTTTAGGACGGGCGCACACTGCAGCACAGCGAGCAGAGCTTTGGCGCCAAACAGGCCTACGTTTGGGTCCTGGATGTGCTAATTACGCGTAGCTACGTGTCCTCAGAGGTGTTGCTAAACCTCTCCTAAGTCGGTTTCCTCATCTGAAGATGAAATTTCCCTCCCAGCATGGATGGAGGTGATACACTTGAAGGGTTCAGCATAGTACCTATACCCCTGGGCTTTAGTCTTCCCTAATTCTTAATTAGCGATCCCAGGACACTGGATTAGGGCCACTTCCTGATCTTTCAGGATGCTGGAAGGTGATAGCTAGCCATGTCCCTGGCTCTGGGCCTGCCACAGATCAGGTGCTCAGGAACCGCCCACGGCCAAGAGAAGCTGACATTTTAGGAAAGGGCAGGAAGGAAGATGGGAGGTTGGATGTGCGTAGGTAGCGGGTGGCACTGGACACTGCTGACCCCCACCCTGCTCTTGCTGGGAGTGGAGGTGGATCACACGGCTGCCTGGGAGGCTGTGCTAGAGGATGCTTAGTCCTGCGAGATTCTCCCAGAAGAGTTCTTACCTTCAGCCCGTCGGGCCCTGCAGGACCACTGTCTCCCTCAAGGCCTGGCTCCCCCTGGACGGTGTGATAGGAAAGACAGGAGATATTACAGGGGGCGGGGCCGTGGCTGTCCCTCCCTCAGCACGCCAGAGCAAGACCCCACCCTACACCCCTAGGCAGGGGGACTCCCACAGGCTCAGGCCACCACAGGCACAGGGCCACCAGAATGAATGAAGGAGCCGAAGGTGAGGCTTCACCCTCAGCTTCCCAGAAGTGAAGCACAGACCCCCCCAGACCACAGGCTGCTCCATCTGCTGGGGAGGCTGTGCAGCCTACTGCTTAAGTGCCAGCTTTGCCTCGGCAGATCTCAGCAGACTCTGGCTTTCCACTCACTGGCTGTCTGACCACAGCACACTACTCAGTCCACCATGCTGTCAGTTTCTTCATCTGGGAAATGGGGCTGACACCCTCTCCTTCAAGGCTGCATAAGGCCATGCCACTGCCCCAAATGGCAGCTGCTTGAGATCTCCTTAATGGAACTGGAGCAATGGAGCGCACTACACTCTTCAGAGAAGAGACAGGTATGAAAATTCTGCTCCTCTTGCATCCATGGCAGACATCACTAATCAATCCACTAGACCATAAGCTCTATGAGAAAACTCTGCTACTCGCTGCTGGACTCCTGACATACAATGGTTACAATGGTTGAATATTTGCCCTTGTTTTTCCTATTGGGTTCTGATAGAGCTCAGGATCCTTCTTAACATCGCCTTTTAAGAAGATTCTACAGGCCGGGGATATGGCTCAGTGGCACAAGCACCTGCCTGGCAAGTGCAAGGTCCTGAGTTTGATTCCTGGTACCAAAAAAAAAAAAAAAAAAGAAGACTCTACTGACCAAGCTTGGTGGACACCTACACCTTGCCACCTCAGGGCCTGTTACAGTTTGTGTCTAGATGCCCCTGCAAAGCCTCATGCAGTCATGGAGCAGGCTTCTAGAGTTTATGATTGGTTCATGGTCCAATGCTGGGACTATGAGTGTGTCCTGGGGCAGGTGGCCTGCGTACAGTATAAGAGAGGGAAAGAGGCTGGTTCACTGTTGCTCCTCCCTTTTTGCTCTTGCTACTTTTGCCGTTTTTCACCGCCATGAACTGTTGCCCTCTGCCATGTGCCACTCTGCCTTGGAGCCAGCCAAGTATGGACTGAAACCTCCACAAACTCAGAGCCTTCTAAATTGGACTGCTGATATGTAAGAAGGAACACTAAGCATGTAGCGCGTCCTCGACATTTTGATCACAGAATTCTTTTCTCACATTGTGGAAATGCTGGTCACCAAAAGAGACTGGGCCAGGCTGTGGAAATTGCTGGTCAATTTCTACAACTGAGGAAACTGAGGTGTAGGGACATTGAGTGAAGCCCTTCTCTTCCCTCAGGATCCACATACCCTCAGGGCTTTCCAGGGAGAATGCATCTGCTTCAACTTACCCGCTGCCCAATGAGGCCCTGCTCCCCAGGGCTGCCCAGGGGTCCAAGGTCGCCCTACAAGAAGCCAAAGAGAAGCACATGGAGGTGGGCAGGGCCAGCTCCAGCACTCACCACATTTTCTGTTTCCACTCGTTCTGATTTGGGATAAGGAGAGGCAGACAGGTAGGTTGCTCTTCCCAGGGACCAAGGAAAATGGCAAAAAAAACAGAGTCCAATATCAAGTCAGCTCTGGCCATGAGCTTCTCTCACACCAGGACAGAAAGATGGCCACCTTCACAACACCATCATCATGATAATAATCACCACCATCACCATGATCATCCTTGTAACCATCACCACCACTGCCATCAGAACATCACAGTCATAATTATTATCATCATCACCACCACCACCACCATCATACGACCACCACCACCACCACCATCATCACCATCATAACAATCACCCCATCACCATCATCACCACTGTAACCATCACCACCACCATCAGTGCCACCATTACAATCATCATCAACATCAACACCACCACCAACATCACCACCATCATGATAATCACTGCCACTACCACCATTGCCATCAGTCACCACCACCATCACCACCACCATCTTCACCACCACCATCACCATCACCATCATGGTACCACTTACTCGGCGTTGTTCTAAGTACTTTTAAAAATGAACATGTGACTTTCCTAACACCTGGGAGGAAAAGCATTATTCTTCCAGAGAGGAAGATGGGAGGCTGGGGAGTTCCGCTACACCAGGTCCATACTATCGTGTGGCTCGTGACACACTCAGGACCATAACCCGGGTGGTCTGGCCCCAGCAGCATTGGATGCAGGATGACAACTCTGACTGGATACCTTCTTTACTCTCCCTTGAGACTTGGACAGAAACCCAAACAAGGAGGAAGGTTGAATATCACCTGCTCCCTGAGGGACCCCCAAAGGATCTTCTCGCCCTAGGATTTCCTGCTAGTGTCTGGGGACACAGGGAGGGGCAGAGCGCTGATCCCTTGGTCCCCGCTGGAACAATCCACTTCTATCTGTTTGACAGACAGGGCAATTTCATCATTATTCTTTGAGCAAAGGCCCTGAAACTAAGCCAAGTGTGACGGCACTGGGCCTAGAAGGGGTATGTGCTTCAGGTCATAAGCCCTTGTGTGACTCTCCCGGGCCAGACCTCTGCAATGTCCTGGGCCGCTGGCATGGGTCATCGGCTCCCGGGCCTGCACAGGAGCAGGGTCGTCTTCCCGCAGCCATGGGGAGGGGCTCCCTTTGGGCCCAGGGATCAGTGGGCACCTGTTTCCTGGCAGGTAATGAGGGCACCAGGGCTGAAGTACAATGGCATCACACAGGCCAGGAGGCACAGCCACCTGGGCATGGAGGCAGGCAGGTGCCACAGAAAACACTGCTGGGCAGAAGTTGCACTAGGGGGTATGGGCAGGGGAGGCCCTCCACTGTGGCCACGCTAGGGCCCGCTCCCCTGCACAGCGCACAGAGAACCCATTATCCCAGGCACAAGAAAGGACCGTTTCTCTCCCTGAGGAGGACAGTGCTGCCAGCTGGGAGCTAATTTTCAACAAGTCACTTTTCCTGCCTTTCATCCTGCCTCACCTTCATCCCAGCTTCCCCGGGAGGGCCTGGTTCTCCCACTGCACCCGGCGGCCCCTGCAAGAAAAGAAAAGGCTGTGGGTCTCTCCCATTCCCATGGGTTGGCCCTGGTTGTAAAAGGGGAAAGGGAAGCGATATGCTCAGGCCACACAGCAGGAGAGACCAGACTTGGGAGAGCTCTGTAGCTCCAGGAACTTGGGGTGGGGACCTGGGAAGGGGTGGCTGGTCCAGGCTGGCAGAGGCCCAGGACTACCAGTAGCTTCCGGACCAGTCCCTCCCCGTGCATGCGGTTGACCACATAGAAGCCCCTTGGCAGGACAGGCAGGAAAATTCATGATTCACGTAAGGACGAGGGAAGTCAGTATATGTCCGGGGCTGGATGGTTCCAGTGTTCTCTGACAGCGGAGCCAGGGTGACGAGCACAGGAGGGTCCTGAACTGTCACCGGGGCATGGCTGTGGCCTTGTATAGTCCCCGGAGAACAGGTTGCTTCCGGCTGTGGCCAGCTGTCTGAGGCCCCTTCCCGGCTCCTTGCCCAGGGACCCTCTGTGGGCTGGGTCCCCATTCACTATGCTGAGTGAAGTCTCAGTAAGGATGGAGTGGGCAGAGGTTGCTACTTTCAGTGATGCCAACAGAGGCACTGTCACCTCCCATGAGGGTCCTGGCACCAAGTCCTCGCCCTGTGCCCCAGCATGGGTCACCCACTCAGCCAACCTCTGCTCCCAGTCTGCAGCATGATGGCCTCGCCCATCACCCTGGGCCAGGACAGGGGAGGGCAGGCTGCACCCCCAAGGGGCGGGGCTGACTACAGCAGCACCGCAGCACTCACCTTGGGCCCCATCTCTCCTGCAGGGCCAATTGGCCCCTGTGGTCCCTGAGGGCCCTGCAAGACAGACAGACACGGAGGCATTAGGACACGCCAGCCTGGGCCGCCCTGGGGTCTGAGGCTTAATAATGCAATCTGGAGCAATGGGTGAGGGAACTGGGGACCATGCAGCCTAATCCCCAGGGACCCCAGTCACACCACGGGGGTGGGGCCTGGCGCCTGCAGCTCTTCCTCACCTGTCTCCTAAGGGTCTCCAACCACGGCTGCTCCCATTCACCCCCACCCAAGCCCAGCAGAAAATCCCACTCTGGAGCCCTCTGCTTTGCCCCAGCCCCAGCCCCGGTCTGCCCCATCCCTGCTCCCTCGGGAATCCAGAGGTGGGGTGTTGCAGCGCCCAAGCCCTGCAGAGAGTGATCCAGGGAGCATCCTCTGGAACCCCAAGAGCTGCCCTCTCCTGCATCTCCGTCACCATCACTCCTTGCAGCCTCCTCACAAGCTCCACAGCGTCTAGGCTGTCCCCCCAACCCATCTCTCTGAGGCCTCCTCTGAAGGGCGAAGTAATGAGGTCACCATCCCTGTTCCATGCCCTTCAAAGGCTCCTGTGCCCTTGGGATGAGGAGTGGCTCTCCAGGGCCATGGGGCTACCTCCTCCTGCCTCCCAGCAGCCTCCTCCTCTCCTGCCTCCCTCCCTCCTTCTGCTTTCTCTGTGCCAAGCGCCCTTGCTACCTCTTCTTATGTCATCCTCATGACAGAATGACAAAGGACACAGGTCCCCATTTCACTGGTGGGAATCAGGCTGTAGGGCCCCCACCACTACCCAAAGCCTGATGGGCAGCAAGGCCCTAGCACTGTCTCTTGTCAACGCCTCTCCTGGTCTGACCATGCAGCCCCCAGCCCGGGTGGTGGTCCCTCTACGACCAGCCTGCCAGGGGCAAGCATATCAGGGAGGCAAGGAAAGGAGCTTACCGGTTCTCCTGGGAGGCCCTTGGTGCCTGGGGGGCCCGAGGGACCTGGGATGCCCTGCAGAGAAAGACACAGGTGACCTCAGTCCCTTCCTGGACTTCTCCACCCTGCTGTCCCCTTGACCTCTGGCAATGGTTGAAGTGTCTCAGGGTCCTACCCCCCCCCCCCCGCGACCTTATGATCGACACTGAAGCTGAGAACCTGGTGTGGGAACCATGCCCAAGGGGCTTCTGTGTAGGGGGTGTGGGGTTTCCACTGCAGGTGGGAACCTGAGCTGTTCTGCCCGGCCCGCTCCAAAGCCCCACGCTGGGCAGCACGGGAACTGATTCTACTTACGAGAAAGCCTCGTGGCCCTGAGTGGCCTCGCTCACCAGCTGCACCCTGGAAGCACATTTGGGGGTCATTAGAGGCACACATCACAGGGCAGGGAGCAGGGAGGGGGTCCAGAGGCCAGCCAGCGTGTCCTTCGCCCCACATACCTGCTGTCCAGGTGGGCCCGGTCTGCCCCGAGGTCCTGCAGGGCCCTACAGGAGCAGAGAAGTAAAGCTGGACAGGGATCAGGACAGCCCTGCCCCGGAAAGGACCCGCCCCAGGAGATGGGAGAGGAACCCCGGCCAGTGTCCCCCCATTCCCATTGTGCAGCCGGGAAAACCAAGGCCAGCAAAGAGTGGCTTCCCACAGTCACTAGGTGCCTGGCACCAAGAACCAAGGATCTCTTCCTATTGATGGGACACAGAGGCATCTTGAGGGTTCTAGGGCACAATGGCTCTCCCTCACTCTCCTTGTCTCTCCCTCCCATTGTGTCCTCTTGCTCAGGGCTTGCAGGGGGCAGGAGGGAGGTGGATGAGTCTCAGGAATGCACCCTGCAGCCTATCAGGAACACCCTGCTGTCCACCTATGGGGCCTGGTGCTGGGCCCTCTGATCCAGCAGGGTTAGGGTGAGGAAGGGCAGCCCAGGGGGGTCAGTACCTTCTGGCCCCTGGACCCCTGCTCTCCAGCTGGTCCATCTGGTCCTCGGGGACCCTAGAATGGGAAGAAGGTTCTGGCATGGTGGACAGTAGGGATCTCCCTCAGGCTGGGAACCAGGTGGGTGGAGCTGCCCCGAGCCTGGGACCTTCCCCTTCCCACGCCCCCCCATGCCCGCCCAATGCCACCTAAGGCAGGTCACTGGCCTGCAATGACAGCCCAGGTGGTTCTGCAGAGGACATGGCACAGCTTCCAGAATGAAGTTGGCACATGCACAACCATATTTAAGGAGATCTTAGAGCCAGGGATGCTGGTACATGTCTACAGTCCTGGCACTCGGAGGCTGAGGCAGGAAGATCAAAAGTTTGAGCCCTGGTCAATTTAGCAATTTAGCAAGACCCTGCCTCAAAAATTGCAACAAACCAAAAAAGCCAAGCAACCAAATAAGTAAATATATAGAGAGAGTCTACCAAAAAGATGTATACATAGTTCAGGATAAGAAAAATAATGTGTTTTGTCAACAAATGGTGTTACCCTTATATGGCAGATCCTACAGGATGTCATATATTACAAAAAACCCACTACACTTCCAGCGCTTAAAAGAAACTGAAAATGCATGCTGTTGCAGCTTGTGTCTAGATGTCCCTGCAAAGCCTCATGTGTTCATAGGTGGGGCTTTTTCAGGGGTGGCTGAATTTCAGGTGTGTGATTGATTCATGGTGCAGTGCTGGGATTAAGGGTGGATGATTACTAAATCAGTCCACTGATTGGTTAGGTACTGCCTTAATCCCAGTAGCCTGGATACAATACAAGGGGCAGGAAGAGGCTTGTCTTGCCCCTTGCTTGCTTTGCTACCTTCCTCCTGCCATGAACAGTTTCTGTTCTGCACTATCTCTCTACCATGCCAGCCTACCTTGGAGCCAGCCAATGATGGACTAAAATCCCCACAAACTGCGAGCTACATAAACCTTTCCTTCCTTAATTCTGGGTGTCGGGTACTTTGTCTCAGCAATAAGAGAAAAGTAACCAAGACAGATGTGCAGCAATCCCAATGACCAAGCAGCAGTTCATCATGCTAATAAGGGTCTGAAAGCCATCCCTCTGAGCACCTCTTGTAATTGCAGAGGCCAAAGGTAACCTGTTCGAATCTCAGGATGTCTCAGTAAATTTAGAATTAAAACATTTATACAGGTTTTTCTTCTCCTGAGCAAAATTAAAAAAAGAAAAATAGATAATAGGAAGTAGGGAGACAGATCATTCTCAAATGCGAAAGGGATCAGCAGCTGGAGTGGAGGAAGGGAGGAAAGGAAAGGGATGGGTATATGTATCAGCTCCAACAAGGGATTTCATTACTGCAAACATGTGCTGGTACAAATCTAAAAATTTTAAAAACCAAAGCAAACATTGTTGAAAGAGAAATTAAAGAATACATAAACGAACATGAAGACATGTGTGTTAAATAAATGAGTAAGTAACGCCGGGGATGGCGCTCAGGGAGAAAGCCCCCCCTACTGCAAACAAAGCGTCTTGTGGTGAACAGAGGGCTGTGTGATTCAGGGCACCCCTGCGCTGTCTCTGAGCCTGCACTTCACTCCCAGAACTGTCCCCGTCCATGGAGGCCAGAGCCTCCGTGAGAGACCTTGGGGACAGCTGCCATCTCTCCAAGCCTTTCTGGGAGGAAGCAGCAGCCCTCACAGAAAAAAGCTACACCCTTGTTTTATAAATAAGGAAATTGAGATGGCAATGAGCATGCCCGTGGTCACACAATTTGTAAGGGGAGAGTCATAATTTAAGCACAAGTCAGCTGGGTGCCCACTTGATTTCACTGCGACCTGTCACTGTTTATCAGGGAGAGGGTGAGCTTCCTGTCACCAGGGGAGTATAAGGCAGAGCCTAGAGAAGCCTGCCCCAGGCAAGGTGCTGGAGAACACAACGCCTAAAATCCTTGTTCAAAGGAGGCGCAATCCCTCTGAGCTCAAGGGGAAGCTGGGGAAGCAGGACCAATCTTTCCTGTTTGGGGGAGGCTGAGGCAGTGGGCCACCAGCCAGTCCGTCTCCTAGCCCACTGTGCAGAGGTATGTGTGAGGGCAGCCACATACCCAAACCCTGGCTCTGGCTACTCAGCAGCTTGTCCTGTGGGTCCCTGCTTAGTCCTGTCCCTCTTTGCACAAGACTGGGGCAGCCACAGATGGAGGTGTCCAGGGTTTCTATCAGAGAGACTCACCTGCCCTCTTGTATCCACTCCCCAAGGAAGATGTTTATAGTCAAACCTGGAGCTACCCCTGAGCCAGACCCTGGGAAAGGGGACACATGAGGAACCTAGGCGGGATTGCAGCGAGGCTTTGCTAAGGGCCTGGGGCAAGCTGGGCACCCAGCGGGCAGTAACCACATCTGGGAAATGGCCCAGGGGAGCCCTTCAAGCAGGACCTCTGGGAAGTGGCCCAGGGAAGCCCTTCAAGCAGGACAATCCTGCAATTTTACATTCCTGCCAAATCTTGCTGGGAGCAGGGCTCAGGTCTCCCTGCTCCCTGCTCCCTGCTCCCCTCTGGCCCAGAGACTTTGATGTGGTCAGGAGCCTGGGTTTCCTCAAGCAGGGGAGAAATTCTTCAAGCCACTGATAGAAGGGTGGGGAAGATGGCTGGGAGAGCCGAGCCGGGGCTGGGCCTCCCTCTGGGGCGGGGCAGTGGCCAAGGCCCTTGAGGTCGCTATTCCTGTTTCCAGAACCAGAGGGGACCCGGTAGCTGCCCTTGGTCCTTGTGCCCAGGCAGAGACGGAGGACTTGGGCACTGGGCGGGGCCCCAGCGGCCACAGGAATGCCTCTTAATCTTTTCTCTCTCAGCCTGTTGCCTCAGGCCATCTGGTGCAGGGGAACTTTTAAAACTAGCTGAATTCCAGCCAAGAGGTGGAAAAATAATCACAGATTCCCCCGCGTGAGGCTTGGATATCAGGCCCAGGCTGCCCCGCTGCCCTGCTGCCTTGTTTCCTCTTTACAACAAGGATGCGTGCCCTGGCACCTGTACACCAGTTGGCAGGAGGAGACCATTCCATCCACCCGTCCTGCATGATTGAAAAGGAGGCCGAATTCAGTATGCAGAACAACCGGATTCCCTGGGTTCAAATCCCAGCCATGCCACTTCTAGCTGTGCAACCTGAGGACTTGACTTAACTCCTCTGCACCTGTGTTTCCACATCTATAAAAATGGGACTAAGGATAGCACCTATCTAACACGGTAGCACTGAGGATTAAATGAGTTAGTGCATGTGATACTGCCTGGCACACAGTGTTAGCGATCACCCCAGGCTACTGTGTTCAGGCCAGCTCTTATCTAAAACCCTCTGTGGCTCCCTATTACGTTTATGGCATAACTGTGGAGGCCCTGCCTGGCATGGTGCCTGCTAAGTCTTGTCCCGGTCACTGTTGACTAGGGAACCCTAAGCATGCCACCTCTACCCTCACCAAAGGACCCTTCTCTGCCAGCCTGTCGGCCTGAAACCTGGCAATAGATCAAGAGTCACCTTCTCCTAGGCTGGCCTTGGTTCCCCTTCTCAGGGGAGGTACCCCCGAGCAGCCAGTGTGCCCGTCATCCATGTGCTGATGACCTGTAGCTCTGTGGTCTGTGTCTGCCTAGCAGCATGTGTGACCTGTCCCCTGGGTAGAAAGGGCAGGCAGGTCATGCTTGGTCTGTCCTCTGTGTTATCCCGAGAGCGCCTAAGGTAGATGCTAAATAAATGGGGTTGAATGGATGATGGAGTGAATGAATGAATGAACGGACAAAGCCCTCGTACCAGAGTCCATTTTTGCCCAATGGACAGCAAAGCCTGGTACTCAGGAATAGACTACAAAGACAGCAGCGGGGTGAGAGGTCCCACATGCAGCACTAGGCCCAGGGTGAGCCTGGGGTCCCCCTGTCTGGTGCTGCAAGTCACAAAGCCCAGAGCCAGGCAGGGGACAAGGGCAGAAGGAGGTCCTCTGCAGGTGGCTCTGCTCTGGCCGTGCCCTTATCAGCATCTGCCCTGGGGGCTGGACCAACTTACCCTGCGTCCCTTCGCTCCCCGCATGCCTGGTGGGCCACGTGATCCTCGAGGACCCTGTTGCGGGAGAAAGGTTGGGGAAGCTCTTTTTAGGCAGTGAAGCAACACATGGAACTAGGAGTGTGGGGCAGAGCTGGGGGCTGCAGCCCCCTCCCTGAGGGGCTGGCCCTTGGGGAGAAGCAGCTGCTGCCCTGGATCAGAGGCCCAGGCATCCCTGGGATGTTGGGGATGGGCGGAGGCCTCCAGGGGTGAGTTCTCTCCTTCCTCCTATCAAAATCAGCACTGAGGGGCTACTGGGACATGTCTAAAAAAGGCATCCCTTTCTCTCCCTAACAGCCACCCATGTTCTGTCCCCACCCTGACCCCAACACTAAATGTGACCCTGACTAGGTTTTGATCTGGGCCCTGGGCAGAAGCTGGAGAGCCAGGAGGACAGGAGAGGAGAACCCAGGGGGTGCAGGTAGCACAGAAGGGACAGAAAGCAACAGGGTCCTCCCTGTGAAGAGGTACATTATCTTGGTTTGATGAGGAATGACAAGAGAATCAAAGAAGGGCCGGGGAGGGCCGGGGGAGAGAAGGAGACATGGAGGGAGGCGGGGAGAGGCTCGGAGAGCCAGGCACTGAGAGCTGGAGGCTTTGTGCTTTGAATTTTCAGCACCTGGCTTGGCCTGGCACCTGCCAAGTGCTCAGAAATCCGAGAGAACAATGGCCCTGTGGACGAACGGAGCTGGCAGCTACCAAGCAGCAACTTTACCCCACGGGCCAGTGGGGGCCCTGTGACAGCCACGGCCTCCAGTGCACCGTGACTCCCACACAGGCAGGCTCTTTTCCCAAGGAGGGGATGGTGTCATCCCTGCCACACACTAGGGTGCCGCCCAGCCCCCCTTGCAGTGCCCCTTCTCTCCTGCATGGCCTTGAGGGCACAGATCCTGCTGCGCCCTACAGGCCCTCAGCTGGGGGCCAAGGTAGGCTGCGTCCCAGCCTGGCTTCTCGTCCACAGAGGCAGCTTGGCACAATAAAAAAGCAGGTCTGGCAGCCGGTTGGTACAGACTGGGTGAGACAGGCTGTTTCCAGCTCAGAAGGCATGAGTGTGCCACTGGGAAGGGCCAGGAGCCATCTCTAAGCAGAGGAGACCGGTGCTCACCTGGCCTGGCTGCAACGCCAGAGAGCTGGGTTCAAACCTGCTCTGCCATGCACTAGCTGTGTACTTTAGGCAAGTTATTTTGTTCTGTAGGTCTCAGTTTCCTCATCTACAAAATGGGAAGATGAAATGACCCAGAGGTCATCCACTCTGGCAGTATCCACTCTGTTCAAGCAAGAGGTCAGACCAGGAGGCTGGACCCTGAGGGGCCACTGGGTGGCCCTGGAGGGCCTCAGACCCTTCCCACCTGTCCCCTCACCCCCAGCGAGGGGGATCACACTCTTGACAGCCTTCAGTGGGCAGCAGCAGAACATGGACTGGAGACATGGGGAAAAGCCAACAGGCGTGGGCAGGATCAGTAGAAATGTCACTGTCCAACAAGCCCAGTGGGTGGTAAGTATTGTATCCAACACAAGCTCACTGCCATTTATTAAGCACTGTGGACCGTGGACATGCAGGAGGTTTGCCTAGCTGGGCATCACGACTCTACCACTTATTTCTCACAGTGTTCTCCCAAGGAAGGTGGCATTATGCCAACATACAGATGAGGAAACTGAGGCCCAGGGAGGCTGCCGATGTTGCCAACACCCACAGTGAGAAAGTAGGGGCCAGGACTTGACTCCCTGAAGTGGGCTTTTTGAGTCCCTGTGCAGACTAGGAGCAGCTGGCGGGGAGGAAGAGCCCCACAAATGCAAGGACCAGGCCTGCCTGTAGCAGGGGAGGGCCAAGGGCAACTCTGAGCTCCGGAAGCAGCGAGTGGCAGTCTGGTTTCACTGAGTCTGGGCCAAACCACTGAGTACATGGATGCACCAGAAGGACTTCAGCTGGACCTGGGCGCATCCCATGGGAGGGCTCCCATCGCTCACCTCCAACACAGGGAGGGAGTTGGACAGCAGCCTTTGGGCCTCGCAGCTGAGCCCTCAGATTGCAAGCCGGGCACTCTGCCACCATGCCGCCCCACCAGGCAGAGCACGGTCCTCCGGCCTTCCTGCCTCACAGGCCCACCTCCACATCCCCGGTTCCTCTTGCCCCAGGCCAGACGTGATTTTTCTCCTCCTCGTGCACAGAACAAAAAAGCATGAGAGCCCAACGTGTGGCTCCCGATCCCAACTGCATGGTGAGAGCTTCCCACCTCATCAAAAGGACTGAGGGATGGCACGGCCAACTGGTGCTTGGCACCCGCTTCTCTGGGGTCCCTCCCGAGTAAATGGACGAAGGTCATAATACTAATGACCAACATGACGGTCACATCTGCTGTGTCCTGAGTGACATACACCATCCTGTAATGCGTCTCAGCCCACAGTCACTTAACCTATAGGACCACATTAGCATGACCTTGAGTATTTCCTCTGTTTTTGAGATGTGCAGAATTCAGGCTCAGGAAAGTTCAAGGGTCTCTGCCAGGGAGTGGTGGAGATGGACTGCCTGCTGGGCCTGTCGTCTGACTGTACCCTCACTTGACAGTAAGTTTGTGCTCAGGGTCACAAGGGCTTTGCTCACCGGGGGTCCAGGCTCTCCGGGAATCCCGACACCACCTGGCATTCCTGGATGACCCTGCCAAGCGAAAGGAAGACGAACTGTCAGTGTGTCGGGGGTTGCCTTTTCCCCCTCAGTCCCTCCACAGCCGGGCAGCCCAAGCTGGGAGGAAGAAGAAGCTGGTCACCCTGAGCACCTAGGGCTGGTGACAGGTGGCAGAAGAGCAGGAGTCATCTAGCCCGGGACGGGAGAGGGCAGGAGGATGAAGACTTACTCCTTACCATCGACCCTTTAGGTCCTGGAGCACCTGGGGGTCCCATTACGCCACGGTCACCCTGTGATGGAGACACAATACAGGCAAATCGTGGCGGTGGCTGTGGGAGGCTCTGTGAGGCAGGCGCAGGGGCCCGAAGAGGAGCAGGAACTTGACTAAGGTCTGCAGGAGCCACTGCTCAGCCCATGGCCACACCTGGGTGGGGATCTAGGGCTTTACCCTATGGAGACTAAGACCCTGAGCAAGCCCTGGGAGGCCGCAGTAGCCTCTGCAGCAGACCACATACTGGCTTCTCTGGGGCCAGGAAGGTCCTGATTAAGGGCACACTAATTACACTGTCCCCTTTGATCCAGGTCTGCATCATGCGGTCTTCATTAGGCCTGGCATCCCCTGGGCTGCGCTTGCTGAGGCGGAAACAGCCATAGCAGGTCTTTCTTTCACCGTGGCCAAGCCTCGATGAGGTGCTAGAGGATCAGACCCGAATCACTTCTTCTTGACCAATCCAGACAGGCCGGGTGAAAGGGTGGAGTGGCAGACACAGCTATGGCCGGAAGACAGGGACTCTGAGTTCACATCCTGCCTCTGTTTTCATGAGGTCTCATTTCTTGTGTCCACCCAGCCAGCAAAAATGTATCGAGAACCCACCACATGCCTGACACTATACGCATGAATAGACCCTGAGTATTCCGTGAGAAGGAGAAACAGACAGATGGGCTCCCGGAGGCGGGATGCTCAGGGGCGGCAGGGAGATGACGTGAAGCTCCAGAAGATGCAACCTGCAGCAGGAGCAACGTGAGGCTCTAGGTACTATCCTCGGGGGTGGACCCCTCTGGGCCAGGGTTATGGGAAGACTTTCCTCAGGGAGCATTTGTATTGTGTTATGTAGTTTAGGCTGGCCTTGAACTTAGTAGGTAGCCCAGGCTGGCCTCTCACTCATGGCAATCCTCCAGCCTCGGCCTCCCAAGTACTAGAGTTACAGATGTGCACCACCATGACCAGCATCCATCAAGGAGATGTATTTGAAATAAGAGCTGAAGGGTCACTCAAGAATTGTTCAGGCAAAAGTGTAGGAGCATCAGGGTGGGAAGGGTGATCCTGGCAAGGCCACCATTTGTGGTGAAAACGGACATGGGACACTTGAGTGACGAAAGGATACCTGGGTTTACCACCACACAATGGTTCTGTAAGCTGTTCACGCTGGAGGAATTGGGGGATGGGCACATGGGACCTTCTACACCATTTTTTGCAACTTTTTGTGAATTTGTAATTATTTTAAAATAAAAAGTTAAATTCAAATGACAAGGAAGAGAAGAAAAGCTGAGGCCAGAGGGTACAGGGTCCAAACAGTAATGAAGCATGAGCTCATGCTGAACCAAGAATTTAGGTGAGGTCAGGTGAGCATGAGCCTCAGTTCCTCCCTATCCAGTGGGGACTGTGCTGGCCGTCCCAGAGGGCCTGATCTAGGTACCAGTGGGGGCTCCAGGGGACATGGTGGGACACAGGAAGCCGATGTGCGGCTGAGCAGCTCAGGGGACAAAGTGTGTGTCACTTGCTCTCTGGGTGTCCTTGAACAAGTCACTCCCTCTGTTGGCACCCCAGTCACCTCAAGAGCAAGACAGAGCTTCAGGAGCTCCCAAGGCACCCAAGGGACGTTCATTGTCCATCTTTCTACAAGATGAATCTTCTCTCTCTTCTGCTGCCCATCCTGGGCAGTGTCAGCAGGCAGCCATGAGGGGCCCAGGTTACACATATCTATCGGTTGTCATAAGAAAGTCCAAGTGTGCTTCTCTGGCTGCTAACTGGTGATGGGGCAGGTGCCGGGGGGATGCTGGGAAAGGCTCTTAGAGGAGGTAATGACAAGAATTTGGGAATGACAAGTGTACAGATAGCCAGTGGGGAATAGTCCTAAACCCCAGGATCCACCAGCCCTCTGACTTTCCAAATCTCAGAGCATGAGTTCCGCTAGTCGATCTTTTTTCCCCAGCAACTTACCTTTTCTCCCACGATTCCTGGCTCCCCAACCAGACCAATGAATCCCAGAAGCCCCTAGAGGACACATTTACGAAAACAAGAGGAAGCAACATGAATTTGGCGACACACTGAGTTTTCAAGGCAACAGCTGTCACTTTCCCTCCTTGGAGCCCGGTTCCAGTCTCCTGCTTGGGCCCAGTAATCCTGCCGGCCGGGGCTGCCACTGAGGCATGCCGCCTCTCTCTGGGCACCGTCCTGACTTCCCTCACTCCACCAGATGGTTCTAATTTGGGAGCCAAGCAGCAGGGCTGCTGCCAGCATCCCTGGGAGTGCCACACATTCTTCCCGCGCCAGAAGCAGGCTGGGAGGCGGCCACGTTCAGAGAGCTGGAGAGCGGGGAACTGGGGGAGGCGCCTAAGCTGCACTGGGAAGAGGCCATCTGCCCCCATCTTTGGGGGCTCTGGGGCTGTTTCAAAGAGAGAAGCAAACATGCTGGCTGGGATAGAAATACCGTAACAGCCAGCATGTTTGCTGGGCCAAAAACCTGATTGGAATTTGGGAAGCAGAGGCCTCTTTACTGTCTCCTGAAAGGCTTCCTCTCTCTTTGCTGAAAGGGGACACACACACACACACACACACACACACACACACACACACACACTGTGGCTCCTCTGGCTCCTTTTTACCTCACTGGGTGACAACTTGCCTCTGGGTTCCAGGAAGTTTTTCCAGGTGGCCACGGGCCTTGCTGTCCCCTAAACGGGCAAAACCTGTACCCAGGGCAGGTGGGCACCTGCAGAAATCCCGCCAGAAAGACAGCCAGCCCAACTTCTGGTTCAGGCCCAGCCACTCTCCTGCTAAGGAGCACACAGCAGAGGGGGCTCTGGGAGGGTCAGGAGAGCAAACGTGCCTTTGGAAGGACTCGGATGTACAGCCAAGAGTTTCCAGGAGAATGAGGAAAGACAGGGAGGAGTGGGTTTGTCCCATAAAATCTGCCTCCTGTTCCCTGAACTCTGGCAGGACTGAGACAAGCTGATAACAGGCTGGAGCTCAAGTGCTCAGCAGGAAAGCCAGTCCACCTGCAGGTCTGACTCCAAAGGGTTGACTCTGAGCCCCACTCCTCCCTCTCCAAAGGGTTTAAAGTGGCAGCTTCAGCAAGGACCCTCTAGATTTTGCTCCTGCAGCTTGGGGAGGCGTCTCTAGCTCCCACGCACCTTTCCCTCATCCCCAAGGCCTCAGGAGCATGGGGCCGTGAGGGTGGCCTGAGCTCCCTGACCTCCAGCACCATTGTCGCTCATGGACATGGGGCTCCTGAGCCTCCTCTGGCTTCCTCCAGACAAAGCATAAAGTCCAAGGGATGTGGTACCAGGTGTAGTCACAGCTGCTATGTCACCATGAACAACCGAGTATGTATTTACCTTTTGCAGCAACTTACATTAAAAGACAAATTAAACATTTTCACAGGTGACCGTGATATCAATAACAACAGCTTTATGTGTGGAGCATCATGCTTCTCTATGTCACTGTCATCCAACCTTTAGGTTTGTGGACCCTGGACAAATCACCACAGAAGGGGACAGTAACAGTCGCTCCTGACCTCCAGGGGATTCTGAGTATCCCAGATACTGCAAGGCACAGAGGCACTTGGTCAGTCTTAGCTCTCACCCATCTCCTCCTCACGTATTTAAAGGGGCACAGGGTTAGGTCAGCGGCCTGAGTGCCCCACAAGGGAGCAGTCAGCCATTTAGAAGCTGCTGAATGAAGGGAATAAAACTGCTCTGTTAAAAGGCCCTGCCTGACTGGCTCAGGGCGAGAGAAATTTCATAGCTACTTTAAATTTATGAGTTGTTGGAAGGCAGGTGGGTCATAAACCTCAAACAAGAAGCCAAAGAGGACCCTAATGAATAAGGGCCATACAGCAAGTGCCCCGATCCTGCACCCTCACCCCTGGACTCCCCTGGTGTGCTGTCCCGGAACAGCCTGGCAGGCCTGTCCTGGGGGTGGAGCTCAGCTGGGCTGGGGAAGCCAGCCTTGGAGGCCTCGGTCTTCTACCTGGCAGTGGGGTGAGGAGCAGCTCTGAAAGCCAGAAGCATGGCCCGTTTGGGGCTGGCAAGAGGGCACAGGGGACGTGTTGCATAAGCAGGCACCGCATAGGCAGGATCTGAGCCTCCAGATTTGGAGAGGCTGGGCAGATAAAGGGTCACCAACTGCCACAGCAACTTTTCTCCTCTCCCTCCCTCCTCTCATGGCACATGCCTGCGCTGAGGATGCACCTGAGACCGCCTCAGCTGAACCAGATAGCTCGGCGGCGGTGTCTGCAGGCTTTGCTTCCTGGAGGCACAGCTTCTTGAAGGTGAAGCTCATGCCTTGGCCCCAGCACCTAGGACAGGGCCCGCACACTGAGCGCTCTCTGCTGCACAGACGCAAGGGCCCAGGAGGTCAGAGAGGTTTCCGGTCCTTCTGTGGCTGGCAGTGCCTGGGAACCCTGTAGATCTAAGTGCCCACCGGGGCTCTGATAGTTATTTCTAATGTGAGATCTTGGACAAGCTACTTAACTTCTCAGGGCCTCAGCTTTCTCCTTTGCAGAATGGGAATAATAACACCAACCGCCATAATGCTACTGGGGGAATCTGTGGGCGCGCCTGCGTATGGTGTTTGGCATTGTGCCAAACCTAACAGGTGACTGTTAAATGTAGCTGTTACCACGATTATAAGGACGGCCTGTGGTGTGAGCTTTGGCTCTCTTTTCTGGGGCTCCTCTGCTTCTGCCACGAACAGGAAACGCCTGCCCTTTTGCCTTGGCCACATGGGGAGCGGATCTGGGGGCTACCGAGGACCATGGTGCCCCAGGAAGCCTTACAGCGGCCACAGGAATACAGCTGTGCTTCACAGCTCTGACATTCTCTTTCCTGCCATGGTCTGAGCTGGCTGGACAGATAGCTGGGGGCTCTGGGGACCAAGGCTGCCTAGGCTGCCACTCAACTGGCCCCAGCTCCGCCACTGTGCCTGTGGGCATCTTGGCTGAGCCAGTTTCTCCTCCACAGACCTCCGACAGGCAGAGATCTCACTGCTGCAGAGATCACAAAATACGGCTCTAAGTCTCTGCACCAAAGCTGAGGTCACTGTGGGCCTCCCTGCTAAATCTCACAATTGAACACATGAATTAATATGCGTACATCACATTTTAGACATAGTTTCATAATTGCACTTTGATATAATTGGTTTCCTTTAAACCCTTTGTTTATTTTATGCATTTAAAAACTATTCAGAGAAGGAGATCTCTGGGCTTCATGAGTTTGGCAAAGGAATCCATGGTACAAAAAATGGTTAGGGCCCTGGATAAAGCGATTTCTAAAGACCTTTTGTGTCCTGATAGTCTAGGATTCGGAGTATCTATTTCCCCAGGGCTCTTTCATTAGCATAACTATGAAATTGAATTTGCTGCTCACATTGCTTTTTTTTTTTTTTTTCCAACCAGGAAATACATCCAGGCTGCGGCAGCCTTTCCAAACTCCTGGGCTTCCCACAGAATGCACTCAAATGATACTGGAAAAGTTTCAACAATCCAGGCCTCCCCCAGCTTTCATTCCTTTCTTCCCCCCAACAGATGTTGCAGGCTGGGTGAGGAAGCCCGGTGTGCGAATTCTCCCAGCATGCATGGTGTTTCCTAGGGCAGCCGGCATCATCCTGGGCCCCAGGCATCATCCCTCCTCCTGGCTTGGACTAAAAGAAGCCTCTTCCTGAGTTCCAGATGCAGGACCCCTTTACTGGGTACTGGGTACTGGGTTCTGGGTACTGGGGATTAAAACTAGTACCTTTACGCTGTGCTACATTCCGCACCCTTTTAACCAAATTTTAATTTTCAGTCAGGGTCTCATGAAGTCTAAGTTCCTTGGGCTGGGCTCAAGTTTTTTATCTTTCTGCCTCAGCCTCCCAGAGTGCTGGGATTCCAGGCATGTGTCACCACATCGGCTGTGGGCCCTTATTTAAAGTAGTGAGGAGATTGCCACCTTCCACCTCTGGGCCCAGAGAGTAAGCCTGCAGGAGGCGCAGGGGCTGGTGGGAAGGAGTAAGCTGCCCGCCCACTCAGCGCTTCAGCTGTTTCTGTGGACTTTGATAATTGAGGGAAAGCGATCCTCAAACCTCATTCTCAATGAGTACTTGCAACCGCTCTGCTGCAGACCTGGGCCTTGCTTCCCAGCCAGCCCGCCACTGGCTTGAATTTCATCTTCTTTATAATTTAGGGACCCTGGGACCAACCGCTCCTGGCAGGCTGTTGCCTTCCTCTGGCTGAGCTGCCTGACCTGTGGGTTTAACTCCAGCTCTGGGACCCAAGTTACTGAACCTCTCTGGGCAAATGCAGCTAAGCCATGTGCGGACAGTTGGCCGCGGCAGTGACTTTCCCACGCAGAGACGTCTGCTCTCTGAGAGTCATCATCTGCAGAGATGGAGGAGGGAGAGGCCCAGCCTGGTGCTGTTCTGAGAATTTAACAAGGCGGTGCTGGTGGGGTCCTTAGCGATAGGCTCAGCACAGGTAAATGCTCCGCAAAAGCAACCCGTGTTCCAATACCTTGGCTAACTTACCTGTTCACCCATGGGCCCCGGCCGTCCAGGTTCCCCTGGCTCCCCCTGCAAACAATAAAGAAGAGGATGGATGGGGATGGGCGGTTGGAGGCCAGGTCCCTGGGGAGCTCTCCAGGCCTCTGGCTTTCATTGCCTTTGGTGGCGATGGGCCGGGGACCTGCCGCTCAGCCCCCTGCTGTGCGTATCTCATTCGGGTCCTTCAGCAACACTGCATTTTGTGGAGGTGGAAACTGAGGAGCAGAGAAGTGGGCTGACTGGCTGAGGCCCCGCAGCCAGCTAGGAGGGCTGTTAGAGGAGCGCTGTTGGCTGACTGCATCTGCCACCCTACTGCATCAGGCTGCCCACTGTAGGAAGAGCAGGAAATTGGGGGGACATAGGGAGCCTGGGTCCCCACCGCTCAGGGTGACCTTGGTGAGTCTCCTCTGCGCTCTGGGAGACCAGTGAGTCTGGTCTCCCTGGCCATTTCCTGTTCCTAGACGTGGCAGCTTTGGCCCACACTCAGGTGGCTCCTGCTCCATGGGTGGCCGAAGCTGCTCTGGTGTCCACAGCACGAGCTGCAGAGAGGCAAGCAGACCTGCGGGAAAAGTCCACCCAGACTGTGTCCCTCTCCCCTCACAGGAACCCAACTGGTATCTGAGGGACAGTGGTGAGACCTCAGAGGGTAGAACACAGGCTCCAACAAGCCAGAAATTTGGCTGGAAAACAGATGTGGCTGACTGCATTCTGGTTGGAGCCCCAATCTCCCATTTGGTTCCTCCCCTAGAACTTGTGTTCTCAAAAATCAGAAGGGCCAGGGAGGATTTGTGGACCGGTTCTCACGTGGGAGGGAGTCATGGGTCACCGAGGTCCCCGCGCTCTGCCCCAGTCTCCTACGGCTTCAGCCACCTGTAACCCTGGCCCCGCTAACTAACTCTTGTCTAGAATGACCAAGCCCATCCAACCCTTCTAGCGTCTCCCCTTCCAACAGGGGTCAGTGGGAGCCTCTCAAGGGAGGCTGCCCATATGCTGGTGATCACTATTATTTTACCTTAGGCCAGTTCTTCCTGGCATCTTTTTTTAAAAGTCCCATTAACAAATGCAATACACATTTATTGTATACGAGGGGAAGAAAATGGAGATTTATTATCCCACGACTAAGAGAGGGCCTCTATCAACTTTCCGGACTTTGGTGTGTACGGAGGGTGCTGCCTGCCTCTGCAAGACTCTTGCTTAACACTCGTTTATAACCTGTTCTCCACCATCTCCATCCCACTACCAGTGTCTTCCCATCTTGTAAAATATTCCACAGCACCACCTTGGGTGGCTACACTATATCCCACTACTGGAACAATTCTCCTCCATTGAACTTAGGGGTTATGTCCATTTGTTTTTTTCTCTGTACAAATGCTTTGTGACAAACGGGAACCAGGTTTTTTCTCCCTTTTCACAGCTGGCCATGGGGTTTTGGGCTTGCCCTGGGGCTTTCCTATGTTGGACCCCTGTTTATCTCCTTTCTTCCCCAGGTATCCCTAGGTGGCCTTACCTTTGAGCCATCCGGGCCGGGCCTCCCAGGAAATCCCTTCCTTCCAGGCAGACCCTGCAACAGAGAGAGAGGTGAGTGAAACACACTGGCTGGACAGGGGCAGAGGCCTGGGGGACCCGGGGAGCTGGCAAGGGTCCCTGTGGGCTGGGGAGAACCACAGTGTCCAGGGAGGACAGGGACATAGATCCCCGCTGCCACCAGCCAGCTGCAAGACCTCAGGGACAGCCTCCAGCTGGGTGGCTCGGGGAAGCCTCCTGGCCCAGGCTGGTCTCTTTATGTGTAAATAGGGACAGCAACACCTGCCTGTCGAGTGCAGAGTATCCCGCAATGGGGAGCACCGGCTAGTGGGCCTCAGAGTGTGGCAGGGGCCCTTCCAGGAGGGTCCGGAGGCCGAAACCCTTCCCATCCTTACTCTAAGATGCCCCGTGCCTTCATCACAGGACTGCGGTACTGTCGACACTGAGCACAGAAGCAGAGCTGAGGCTCCAGCTGACTTTGATGAAGCCGACATCAGGGAGATTTGCAAGATGGCAAGAGACTGCCGCTTTTCCCACCCAGTTGATTTGCTTTGGAAAATACAGTGGTTTTTGGTTTAAAAAAAGTATATGTTGTTTACATGAAATGGGTTTATTACTGCTTTTCAGTGAATTAATAAATCTGTATTAGAAGGGTTTTAATGACTAGTATCAATACACATAACCCACAGAAACAAAAGCTCTTTGAGGACTCTGTTTTTTTAAAGAGTGTGAAGAGATCCTGACACCGAGACCCACAATGGTGAACGGTTTATGTAACTGCTGGGGTGAGGGGGCCAGGACAGGTGACTTCCAGAAGCTGTTAGAACCCTGGCAAGAACTGAGGCTGAGAGTCCAGCCAGGGCACTCCCACGTCCCAGCTAGGAGATACAGGGTTGAATTTGCGCTCTTTCAGCTCCTCTCCGATGACTCTACGGAAAGCAGTGTTGCTCTTGGGAAAATCCCACAGGAAAATGGACCCCACACACCCAGCCCCCAGCACCCATCGGGCGGGCAAGGGCAGTCCCTGGATGCCTCCCGTCTCTCTCCTCTAGGGTCCATCAGGTCCTCTCTCTGCCTGGCCGAGGCGCTGTCTGCCACTGCTCTGCAGAGCGTGGCTGTAAATTGCTCGGCCTTTCCTCAGCTGGCTCAGCTCCAACAAATCCCACCTCTGCTGGCGCCACTCACCTCCATGCCAGGGGCCCCTGGTGGCCCCATGGGTCCCTCATCTCCCTAGAGTCAGGAGACACAAGAGAGGAAAAAGGGGTGTATTAATCCAGCGGGGCTCTGGAGAACTTGTCAGAGAGGAACACAAGGGTGGATGGAGGAACCCTCTTGGACAAAGAGAAGGTGCATCTGGCTCGATGGCCTGCTGTGCCTCAGTTTCTCCAGAGTGGAGAGATCCTCCAAAAGCACAGTAACAGACTTCATTTGGGTCCTGGAAGACAGCGAGGACCCACCACCCCCCACCAGCTGATACTCGGGACAGCAGCTTCTGGTGGTTTGTTGAGTGAGTGAAGGAGCTGGCCGATGTTCCCACAGCCTCCACACTAGTCCCTCCAGCAGGCCAGGCCTGACCAAGGGCCCCTCTCCAAGGCTGCCCCTGCCCGCAGCTCCTCCCCTTGCTTCCAGGAAAGCAGCCCTGTGTGGTGGCTGCAGAGCCAGAGCTGGGATCCTGCCAGCCCCAAGCAAGGACCCGGGCCAGGCGGACGCCTGCCTGCGGTCTCAGAGGGAGAGGGCTGTGTGTCACAGGCGGGGCGCGCTGGTGAGGGCCTCATCCACGGGCACGGCTGGGGCCCATGAGACCTTCCCCGCGCCCCTCACTGACAGCAGGAGGATCAGCAAATCTCCCTCTGCCACTTTCCACCTGTGGAAACCGTGTCATTCTCTGGGGGCCCCAGGAGGCGGCTCCCAGGAGGCAGGCAGGCAGTACCATGTGAGTTCTGTGTCATGGACTTTGGCTTATGCAGACCTGGGTTCGAATCAGAGCTCATACTGCTCATAGGGCCTGCCAGGGGCCTTTACCTCTCTGCGTCTCAGGGGCCACACCTGTGAAACGGAGCTGACAATTCCCACCCTCTAGTATCAGTGTCCCCATGAGTGGGGCCGCTGTGAGCATGAGCAGGGGCAGCTGTTCCAGGAAAGAAATGCCCAGCAAGCGGGGAGGGGGCCACAGAGGAGGGGTGACCTGTCCGGCCACACCAGACCACGAGGGTCCCTGAAAGGTTCCCGGGGGCTGGGCTATAAACGATGAGCTGCTGGAGTCTGGGGTCCCCCTTGCTGTGTCCTGCTGAGGGGCTTCTGGTCCCTGGCAGGGCGATGCAAACAGGCCAGCATGGACAATGGGAGGAGAGGAGGGACAGGGCCCGACGGTCTCACCTCAGGCCCCGGCTGCCCACGGGGTCCCGGCAGGCCTCGAGCTCCAGGCTTACCCTGAGAGAAGAGGACAAAAGGATTCTCAGAGGCGGCCCCTCCACACCCACCGCAGGCCAGCGGGACCCTGACCTCCGAGCCAGGCCTCCACGGTCTCCATGGAGCTGACGGGCAGAGACTCACCTTCGTGCCCTCCGGGCCGTTGTCTCCAGGGGGGCCGATATCTCCCGGAAATCCCTACGGGAAGCAGAGTGGGGTCACCCAGGGATGGAAGGAGAGCATGTGTCGTTTACATCATCCCGTCCTGCGGCCCAGGCAGTGGGGGCCACCACTCCAGCCCCAGTCAGGGACTGAGGCCCAGCCTGGCACCTCACAGCATGCCTGAGAAAACACATGGTCCTGCCGGAGAAACCTGCACAAGCATCGTGTGTGACATGCTTTTCTAGGTCTGCCACAACACAAACAGGGATCAGAAGCTGAAATTTCCAGCACAGCCTGGCCTGCAGTTTCCGGCACTGGGCAGGGTTGCCTCCCTACACAGCCCCTCCCGCCAACATCCTCATGAGGGGTCCTACAAGCACAGGGCTCTCTCCCACTCCCTCAGCGGGTCTGGGCACAACCTGGAGAGCAGTTATCCCAGTCCCAAAGCCTTGCCCTTCTCTATCCCTTTCACAGTGACTGCTCAGGGCCCCAGGGCCTGGCTGTCTCCAATAAGCCAGCTTCCGTTGCTGGTGACCACCAGTTCATCATGCACCTCTGGGCATGAGCCAGCATGAGAACATCCCCTTCCTTGTTTTAAGTGCTATGCCTTCATTAATTTGGCCTAGACCACCATCAACTTTTAGGGCAGCCTCACTACTTTAGTTTCTGCTAGCTACAAACCAAAACCTTTTTTAAAATGAGTCTCCATAACCAAAATCTCCTCCCACTTTGCCTTCAGAAGTGAGTTTTTTCTTTCTCTCTTCCTCTTTTAACCATGTAGTAATTCCCATAAAATCCCATCTTTTCACTGGCAGAAGCAAGAGCAGTCCTGAATTTGGAGCTAAGCACAAAGCCAGAGCCTGCATCTTTCTCCTCAAAGTGAGAAGACAACAAGCTTGCCTGTCCCCTTCCCACTGCGTTCTGGGGCAAATCCCTCAGCTTCTTTAGCGTTCAGCTCCCTCACCTGTCGCACACTCAGAGCACGTCCCTTGCAGGGCTGTGCTGAGGTTGAATCGAATAAAACACAAGCACCGTGCTTAGCCTGGCTCCCAGCACTGAGTAAGCGCTCAATTAAAATCTGCACACGCAGGGATTCTGGGCGCACTGAGAAACAAGTCTGCTTGGCATGGCCTCTCTCCAGGGACAGCATGGCGTCTGGGTGCTGAGCAGATCCTGGTGCTGAGTCAGGGGGGAGTGAGGGAGACCATTTCCCTGGGCACTGGAGATTGGAGCTCCATCCGGGCCTCGGAGACACAGGCACGGTGCAGGCAAAGCACAGCGCCCCTCGTGGCCGCGGGCGCCTCCTGGTGATGGAGTTGCCAATCAAAGCAGCGTGTGAAGACAGAGGTAGACGTGGGCGGGTCCAGGGAGGCTCCGGGCCTCGTACCTGAGACAGTGGTTTCTCCCTCCTTCATGGGGGACGGGGGTATAGCCAGTGCTCGCAGAGGCCGTGCGCCTGACGCACTAAGAGGAGCCGGTCAGTGGGAGGGAGTGCGCTCTCCACTCTCCCTGGCCAGACCGCTGGGAAGCCAGTACTCAGAAGTCTTTTTCCACAGCGCAGGGGATGAGGGCCCTGGGGGAGAGGCCAGCTCCACTTGTCTAAAGATAGGGCTGCCTCACGGCCAAAGTCAACACCAAGGAAACTCAGACCGGCTTTTAGGAAACATTCCCTCATCCCCCAGGGGGCGGGGGCGGGGCTTTGGAAGGGGCTGGAGAACCGAGATTCAGACTCCCGCCTTAGCTGCAGGGACCTTGGCTGCAGGGACCGTGGGGATGAGTGAGGCCGGGAGGCCAGGGGTCTGGGGGGACGTGGGGCCCTGGTGGGGCTGGCCTAGGTGTCCGGGACTCTAAGAGGGAGAATAGCCCTGGCAGGAGTGTGCAGGCAGATGTGAGTCAGTGAGCAGGGTCCAGCCCCTGCCCCCTGTGCTGATTGTCACAGTATCAGCAAAGCTCAGGCTTCCTCTGAACGCCATGAGTTAGCATGTTGATTGCTAAATCTACCCATCTACCCTTCATCATTTCCCATTCTCCACTCAAATCCCAGAACTCAGCATTGCCCTCCTTGTTTGGTGGTACTGGGAATTGAATCCAGGGCCTTCCCACAGAGCTATAGCACCTCTGCCCATCCCTCCATGCCGCCCCATGACTTTTTTTGAATCAAGGTCTAAATTTCTGAGGATGGGCTCAGTTTTGTGACCCTCCTGCCTCAGCCTCCCAGAGTGCTGAGATTACAGATGTGCGCCTCCATGCCTGGCTCCGAGCATTTCCCCACATGTGGGACTGTCGATCCCTGAGCCTTTCTGGGGTCACTGGGCATCAGGGCAGGCCCAGGATCAGCGTGGGCCTCTGCGCATGGGGGCCATGGCAGCTCCCTAGAGGGACCTGGGCAGCAGGGCCCAGAGGGCCTTTCTTGATGGTTCTACCTGAACCACAGGGTCAGTGAGGTCTGCAAAGCACAGGGAGACCAGCTTTCTCTCCCCGCTGCTCTCGGAGCCCCCGGGTAGGAGGAGAAGGGCAGATGTGAAGGAGGGGGCTGATCTAGGCATTTCTACTCTCAGCTTCCCCTCCCCTTGGCTGTATGACTCCAAGTAAGTCCCTCCCCGTCCTGAGCCTCAGTTTCCCGAAAACAACACTCAGTCCCCCAGCTGCATGCAGCCAGACCCAGAGATGGGGGTCACATACCTCGGGTCCAGGGGGCCCAGGAAACCCGAGAGAGCCTTTGTCTCCAACTCTGCCCTGCGGAAGAGATCACAGGGGCGGCAGGGATAAGCGAGGGTCCACCTGTCACCCACGCCCTGCACTGGCCCTTGCCGTAGTGGTTGGAAAGTTGTCGACTCTGGGGATGAACTCTGCCTGGACAGCAAGAAGGAGCTGTGATTCAGATGCCACCGCCTGCACTTACGAATAGCAAAGGGACACTGGGCAAATCACTTTCCAGGTCTGTTTCCTCGCCTATAACATGGGAGCAGTGGGGAGAGAAATTCCCAGGTCCCTCATTCCTGGGCTCGTGGGCAGCTCTGAGCCTGGTGCACAGTGACTGCATAAATGACACCCTGCGGCGACACGTGATGTAACTTGTTTATAGGCAAGGAGCCCGTTTCCTCTCAGAGCCCAGAGTGAGCAGGCTTATCTGCCTACACTGCGGGGTGATTACTGCCCCCTGTGCCTCAGGGTCCGCATCCAAAAAATGGGTAAACTCTGGCTCCACTCGTGCACTGCTCTGCTGGCCACAGGCCTGCAGGGGATGGCGCAGTCCATTCAGGACACGAGGGCCGCCCCGGCCACCTTCCATGACCAGCTGGAGAGTCAGGGGCCTGTTTCTCAAGGATGACACCAGGTGTGGGGTGTTGGGGAGAAGGTACTCACAGTGGGCCCTGGCTTCCCCCGTGCACCTGGGACACCTGGCAACCCCTGGCTCCCCTGGAAAAGACACAGAGCAGGCAGGGTCAGCAAGGGGCAGAAAGGCCAGGTGGAGCACTGTGTGGTCCTCCTGCCGGCCCAAGCTCAGAGACGGCCTGCCTTTGAGGAGGACCAGGTGCTTGTCTCTCCCCATCGTAGGCACAGGCTTGATCACACCTGCCCACACCCCAGAGGCGGGGCCCAGGGTGTCAAAGTGAACTGGGGTCCTGGGACAAGCAGGCCCTGCCACCCGCTTAGGCCCCGGGACTCTGGAGACCAGGGGCCCACAGGAGACAGAAGGTCTGCGGAGTCTGAGCCCAGAGACACGGAGCTGGGTCAGCCCAGCCCAGCCCAGCCCAGCCAGGCGGGAGGCGGACAGGGAGAGCTGGCCAACATCTGGGCTCAGTAGAACAGCTGCCGGAAAAGATCCAGCTATGGCCACATGTGCAGGACACAGGCAAAGAGGAGACAGTCTCCGCAGGCCACATACGGCCTCCGGAAGTCAAGGCCCCCTGGATCATGTGTCAGGAAGGCCAGTTTCCCCCCGTTCCTGCCTCCCTCATGTCCCAGTATTCACAGAGAAGTGCAGGATGCTGGGCCGAGCTCTGCCAGGCTCTCCAAAGCCCCATCCTCAGGGCACTCACCATGGCAGGGGCCTGAGCTCAAGTCCCCCAAGCTGGGAGAGATCAGTGGTACCACACTGAGGCAGATACAGTGTGCAGGGCATCTGAGAGGGAAATGGCCACTTTCTGAGGATGTCAGAAAAGTGGCCTCTGAGCAGGGTGACACAGAGAGGCAGAGGGAGGGGGTTCCAGGTGGGTAGGAGTGTGTGCAAAGGGCCTGGGGCACAGTGGGGCCGGAGCACATCTCCATGAGGGGGAGGGGCAGAGAGCCTCAGAGGGATCTGCTGACTGGGTAGGGAGCCAGGACCTCCCTTTGGGAGCAGTAGGGTACCAGGTGTGTGTGCACCAAGCAGAGCTGTGCCCTCAAGAGAACAATTTGGGGGTGCTGAAGGAGACAGTGGGAGAGAAGAGGCTGGGGGCCTGGAGATAAATTGGAGGCCACTGTACAATCCAGGAAAGATGAAGGGGGAATGGCGGGTGGAGAAGAAAGGGTTGTCTGAAAGAAAGCCGACTTACAGGAAGGAAGGAAACAGACAGAAAGACGGGAGCGTCTGGCACAATTACCTTGTCTCCTTGGAAGCCAGGCTCTCCCGACACGCCTGGGACGCCCTGCTCGCCCTGAGTACACAGCAGCAGAGAAGACCGTGAGGGAGGGGACAGACCCGGAGGCCTCCCTGACCGCCAAGCCCACGGCAAGGGACAGCCTCGCACAGGCTGTTCCCAGGCAGGACCTGGCCAGCAGCAACCTGGTGGGGGTCAAGGACGGGCCACGTGGTGGGAAATGCTGGCTGGAGACCAGCCGCCCTAGTGCAGGCCACCTGGTCTGCAGCTGCTGGGAGGGCTCGAAAGGCCGGCCACAGGCGCTGCGCTGCGGGGGGGCCCCCTGGCTGTGCTGGGAGGAGACACACGCAGAGGACACCAGGACACAAACGGTTCCTGGAGCTCTCGCTTCCTGCCCAGCCGCCGACACTGCCCCTGGAGGCCAGGGCGGCCTGTGCGACCGCCCAGCTCTGTGGTTCATCAGCGCCTGCGCCTGCGTCTGCCCTGCAGGTTTCTCACCACCAGGCTTCGGACGGCGGCTTCTCCCTTCTGGGCCAGCAAACTGGTTGCTTTTAATCTGAGTCCCTGGCCTGTTAAGAGTCTATGGAAACCACAAGAAGCCTGGTCCTGAGTTAGTTCTGGGTGTTTCTTTCCTAAGACGATGTAGGCTTGGAGATGCCCACTCTGACCATGGAGGTCTCCTCTACGCCCTCCGTGGCCCAGTAATGAGCTGTCGCCGGCCGCATGGAGAGGTCCTCTGCTGAGGGCCACGACCCTCCCCACAGCCCCTCTCCACACTGGACACCACAACAGCCCAGCGGTCCAAGGACTCAGAAAACACGTCCAGCCCTGGGACCAGGAGGAAAGACGGGGAATCTTAGAAAACCCACGCTGTGCAGCTATGGCTCTGACCCAGAAGAACTTCCTTGGCAGAACAAAAGCCAGAATTGGAAAAAAAAAAAATTTCTTTTTTTAAAAACGTACTTTGGTTTTTCCAACTTGGAAAATCCTGTACAACATCCTGGAGTTTTGGGAACCGAGGAATTTTTTTTTTTTTTTTTAATATGCAAAGGAGGGGAGAGAGAGTCAAAAGTGTTTTCATGAAATCGGAGGAAAGGCAAGTTTAAAAGGCACCTAGGAACGCAGGATAATGAACTCGGAAAGAGCTGGGCCGAGCGGGAGCCCCGGTTCCAGAAGGCGCTTCCACCCCGAGAGCGCGAGCCAAGTGGTTGTAAGTGGGACCAAGGCCAGGAAGGGTCATGGAAAATCTGGGATTCTGGGCAGGCACGTCCAGGCACGTCCACAGAATGAAGGAACAGCCCTGTCATCCCAGGGGAGGCCGGCGGGGCAGGTACGTGTGGGTGGCGGATCAGAACACAAGATTAAGACCCTTCCCACCACTGGGGCAGAAAAGAGATTTTGGTGTCTCTCCTTCCCTCAAAGACTTATTTGATTTTCTTGAAAACTGTGCGCATGAAAATAATTCCTACCCCCTTTTTCCAGCACTTAATATTTCTGTGTCCCCAAAAGCCCCATTAGCAGCCGATTCTGTGGAATGCCAGTATTTCCACGTTCCGAGGCCCTGGTTGCAGGAGGCCAGCTCTGACCCGGGGACCGTGACGAGCTCGCTGCTGCCTACACTCTCGTCTCCCTTTGACCATGACTTCAACTTTTCCACATCGCCCGAGTCCTAAACTCAGGATAAGCAAGCAGCCAAGGGGACCCCCTTGGCCACCATGGCCACCAGAAGCCCCTTCCTCTGGAGAGGGGCTGAGCAGGCAGCGGACAGAGCCGGTTGGAGCTGGAGCAGGGAGGCACAGGGGCTGCCTGGGCACCGTGGGAAGAGATGACGAGGGAGCAGGTGGAGCAGGGGCTGGGTGAGCACCGCGCCCTGGCTCCCTGGGGCTGGGCTGCACAAACATACGGGGTGTCCCTTTTTACCCAGAAATCCTAACTTTCTAGGAGTCTGAGACCTGGGTTGGCTCCCCTGATAAAGCAGAGTTGCTTTATCTTCCTCTGTTCTCTTTGGGTCTCAGTTTCCCCAGCTGCAATGCACAGGCATGGGAGGAAGTGAGCTCCCCATCTCATCTGCTGGGGGTGCTTTCTGACCTCCATTTGCTGGGTGGCGGAAGTCCCTGGAGTCAGGTGCCTAGGCTAGAACCCTGACCCTCTACTCAGCAGTGTGGCCCCGGGCCAGTCCCTTAGTGCATGGGGTTGCGGATGCTGACCCATGGGGCGCAACACTGGTACAGGGCACTTGGGCCTGCTCCAGGGGCTGGGGTGCGGAGCCCTCTGAAGACAGGACCCCAGACCTGTGGGGATACTCAGAATGCTGCCCAAGCCCACCCACACCCCCTCCAGGCTTCCTGGTTTGCCCAGAGTATGGGGGGGGGCAGGAAGTGGACCACAAGGAGTGGTACTCCCCTCTGTGTCTATGGTTCTGATGCTACAGACCCAGGCCACGTACTGACCCTCTCTGGCCCCCAGGGCCTTTCTCCCTGCTCCGACTCTGGCTTGGCACAGGGTGAGACAGAGAGAACTTAGGGGGTGCTCCCCACGCCCCTGCAGCTGGAAGCTGGAAAAGCGGGTCAGGGCTCAGAGGTCAGCCTGGGGGTCCCTGCATTTCAGACCGCAGCTCTCTGCGGCCAGGCTGCCAGCTCCCCCTGGGACATTCTATGTGGGGTCGTTCCCTCCCGTGCCACCACCCAGCCCATGCTGCGGGGCTGTGCCCTAAAGCCCACTCTGTATTCGGGAGCCTGCCTTGGCTTACTCAACAGCCCCTCGTGCCGTTTGCCAAGATCTGCAGGCCCCAGGACCATGCCCTGAGCCCTGCCCAGAGGGACCAGGAGAAGCAGGAGCACAGATCCAGGGGCAGGTGAGGTGGGGCACAGGGAGCACACAGGGAGGTGGACCTGGCCAGTGGTCAGCTATCAGCAGCAGCCTCCAGGCGGAGAGGGGCGGCATGCAGACAAACCCCGGTGCAATGAGGGAGTATTCCGATCACCTTATCACCTTTCAGTCCGGGCTCCCCCACGCTGCCCATCAGTCCCTGCAAGACAAACGCCCGAAGTCAGGGGCCTGGTTGACTCGGAAGTAGATCCCTACCCCAAGGGTCATCCTGGGTAAGGGAGCGGAGGTGGGGCAGGGTGAGGAGTGGACTTGGAACCGCAGCCAGAGCAGGAAGGCCCTGATGCTGGAGGGAAGGGCAGACTGGACCATCCCCAGAAGTGGCCCAGGCAGTGCTAGCCTGTCCTCCACATGCCCTCTGTCGCGGCTGGACTGAGTTCCCTGTCCATCAAGATGATTCTGCTGGCCCCGGTGATTACTCCTCTAGCACCTTCAGGGTCCCCAGTCCGGAATCACGCTGGAATCCCACTCAGCTCAAGGCCTGGTGGCCTATAAAGACATCTGGCCTAAATGACGTCTGGATGACGACAAGTTCTCAGGCCAGGGAGGAACTGAGGTCCTGACAGCCCAGTTTCTGGGCAGCATCTCAGACCCTTGCCCTCCCTCCCCCACACCACCGAGGAGCACCCTGCCTTGTGGGCACCAGGAGGCCTGAACTTGCAGGAAGTCCCTGTTTACCTTCATGCCCTTGGGTCCTGGGTAGCCAATGGGACCCAACACTCCCATGTCACCCTGGGAAAAGAAAGAGAAGAGGATCTCATGAGAGTGGCCCCAGGAGGCCGGCCTGAGTCAGGGGCTGGGCTCTTAAGCCTGCGCCTCCTTTGGGGTGATCTTGCAGTGGGGTAAGTGCTTGAATCCCTCTTGCACAGATCCTGCCCCAGGCCCACATCTGGATTGGTGCCCCTCCTGAACCAGGGCTTGTTCTTAAATACGAGTTACTTCTGTCCCCTTCCAGCTAGGGGTCTCGGGGCTTTTCACCTCCATCTTCCCCTCTATTAAATGGGGCCAATGGCCCCCACCCCTGCAGTGCTGTGAGAGCTACATAAAGCACCACTGGGAGCTGGGCTTCCTCTAGCTAGGTGGCAGGGCCCTTCCTGCTCCCCGGAATCCCAGCCATCTCCTTTGCAGGACAACAAGTAGAGAAGGGGCTGCCGATCCTGGAATCCTCAGTGCTGGCCACTGCCCCAGTAGGATGCTGAGGTCAGCTGCTTTGTCCTGAGCTGTGAGCAGGGGACCTGGCTGAGGTCACATCAGGCTACCCAAGGTGGGAGCAGCGGGGTTCTTGGGCCTGGGAAGCTCAGCAGCCCCCAAGGGTGAGGGAACCGATGGTGCCAGAATCAGACAGCATTCACCCTTGGGGCAGCTTTCTGTGCCTCAGTTTCCTCAATAACAAATGGGGAATGCCAGGTATGGTGGCACACGCCTGTAATCCCAGCACTCAGGAGGCTGAGGCAGGAGGATTGTTGCGAGTTCAAGACTAGCCTGGGCTACAAAGTGAGCTCAAGGCCAGCCTGAACTGTGTAGGGAGACCCTGTCTCAAAAGGAAAAAAAAAAAAAATCAAAAAACCAAAAAAAAAGGGAACTAGCCATACTATGTACCTCTTAGTGCTGTTTTGAGGAGTAACTGATTTAGCAGGTGGGACTACTTGGCAAGGACCCAAGACATTTTTGGCTGTCACTACCAAAGGACTGCTCCTGGTATTGAGGGGGTGGAGCCCATGGAGGCTGCACAAGTGCTACCGGCACAGGATACCTCACAACAAAGAATCCTCCAGCCCAGCGTGTGAAAAGTACTGAGGTTAAGAAACCCTATCTCAGCTGGGCATGGTGACACATGCCTATAATCCCAGCACTCTGGAAGGCTGAGGCAGGAGGATCTCCAGTTTGAGCCCAGCCTGGGAAACTCAGTAAGACACTGTCTTCTAAAATAAAATAAAATAAAATAAAATAAAATAAAATAAAATAAAATAAAATAAAATAAAATAAAATGGGTCAGGGATGTGGTTCCGTGCAAAGGCCCTGGGATTAATCGCTGGCACCAAAAACAGAACCAAAAAACCAAAAAGGACAAAAATCTAATTCAGAGAAGAGTGGCTAAATCTTCACAAGCTCACCTCTTTCCCTCAAATCTCACTCTGCCCTCCCTCTCACAACCGCTCACAGCCACCGTCAGAACGCTAAGTCAATGCCCAGAGACAAGAAAGCCTGGAAACCCACACGGCACTCCCTGCATCCCTGGGAACAGACCTGAGTGTCTGGCAGCTGGGCAACCCCAGCCAATGTGCCTGACCTTTTTGGACCTCAGTGTCCTCCCACCCCAGTTCAGGCTCTTTGGAGGTCCCTGGCGAGGGCTCCGAGATTAGGCTCTGAAGCACTAGGGCCCAGAGGCTGCCCCGGGAAGCCAGGCTTGAGGACAGAGACTTAGGTTCCTGTGGGAGTGGGCAGGAGCTCTCAAAGGGAGGCCAGGCAGAAAATGGAGATCACAGTCCTGGGGACCCCAGAAGGAAGGGTCTGTGCCGCGGACACCCCTGAGGACACAGGCAAAGGAGCAGGACACACAGACATCTCCTCCCAGCCCTGAGCACTGGAGACGGGGGTCGGCCTGCAGGGCTGGCTGTGCTATCTCGGCCATCATTCGCCCTCTCTGGGCTGCAGGATTTCCAACCGACTGGGCTCAACAACACCTAGCTGAGCCTTTGCTAATAAATCCTGCTTTCAGTCACCACCCAGAAACGGTCTCATTCAGAAAGCAAAGCCTCCACCTGACAGTAAAATCACCACACACTGGTAACCCGGGCTCTAGGACTGAGCAACCGAGCCCTCCCATGCCTCAGCCCAGGTGCTCCTTGCAACAGCCCTTAGCTCTGCTCTGCCCACCGCAAAGGAGAAGGGACAGACCATCTCGGGGTTAGGGCAGCGGCAGAGTCTTGGAGCCAGGGCAGAGGTGGGAGTGCATGACCTTTATCTCCAGAGCTTCCAGGCAGTTCTGAAGTTGGCGACTGAGGAGGCAGAAAGGAGTGGAGAGGGTGGACTGCTGGCTTGCGGGAGGAGGAGGACAGCTCCTTTGGCTGCAGCTCCCCACAGCTTCCTGGGATGAAGGTGGCTGCTCAGAGCCCCGCAGTGTGCGGTAAGCACAGCAGGCTCTGCTGGAGGGGCTGCAGGCGGGGCTTGGACCGCCCCCGGGAACGCAGGCTCCTTCTGCCCCCAGACAGCTTGCTGGAAGGCCTGGTATCAGTAGAGGTTGGATGATGATGGCCCGCAGCGGCCCCCCACCACCTCCGAGGGGTCTGTGTGTGGTGAGGACAGGACCCTGGTATGGGCGTTCAACTCTAAAGGGCCACAGGGGACCCAGGGAGACCACAGCAGGTCATATAAGCATGTTGTCTCCATGTTAGTGGGACCCCAGACTGCCCTATAAAAGCAGCGGGGAGAAGCCAGGGCTGGTGGCACATGCCTGTAATCCCAGAACTCTGGGAGGCTGAGGCAGCAGGATCACAAGTTCAAGGCAGCCTGGGTAACATAGTGACTTATCAAGATTCTGTTTCAAAATAAAAAAATAAAAAGGCCTGGAGATGTAGCTCAGTGTGAAGGCTCTAGACTCAATCTCCACTAACGCACACACACAAAGCAGAGGGCTGGTACAGAGGAAACGCCGGGTCCCCGAGACGCACTCATCATGCTGGGCCGGGGTCTCCTGGAGCGTCACCTCCTCACTGTGACAATGTGCAAGGACCTACATCGCGTCTCCCGCTCCCTGACCCCGGACTGCGTTCTGCCCTCCAGCTCATCACACCCACCAAGACCATCACCAACTACAGCTGAGCCACTCAGGGGCCTCAACTGCGGGCCACCTCCTCAGCGGCCGCTATGAGCTCTCCTTAACCACAGCGCAGTGTTCCTCTGAGCTCGGACCCTCAGCACCGCTCTGGGTAGCTCCATGCGGCCAGCAGCACCGTCAGACCTGGTTCGCTTTTCAGACAAGGAAACTGAAGCTCAGAGAGATGCCAATCACCGGCTCAAGATTAAGTAATGAAGAGGGGCAGAGGCAGGACCCCTCCCTCCCTCCCTCCTTCGCAGCTGTCCCACCTCCTGGCCTCACTGCTCCTCCTCCTTGGCGGTGACATCCTCGGCCACTGACAGGTACTTGGTTACTCATGCACGCTGGGCCCTGGCTCTGTCTGCCTCTCGCTGTGCCTGTGCCCCATGCCCCTTCACAAGGTCACTGCCGGTCTAGCTCTCTGCTCCAGGGCCCCCCGCTGCAGCCGTGCTGTTGGGGCTGGAGCCCATACCTTTTGCTCACAGCCGTGCCCACTGACTCATTCATGTGAGTGCCACTGGGCCACCAGCTGGCCTGCTGTCAGACGGAGGGCAGGCGCCCAGTCTGGCAAGCTTACCTTGGGGCATGGCCACAAGCAGGTGCCTGATAAAAGAGGCTTAATGAATTGCATGGCAAGCAGGGAAACTGCCACACTTGCAGCCTCTCTGGGAACCTGGCTGTGAAGGCAGAAACTCCAAGAGGGTGTTCGAGGGCGCTGGTGTTAGGGACCAGGACGCAGAGACTGTGGCCCATCTTAGCTCCTACAGCACCTTACTACTAAGCCCCTTCTCTCACGCTGGAGCTGCCCCAGCACCGCCCAGCCCAAGCCCCCGCATCTGCTGGTTCTGCCCGGCATAGATGTCTTACAGAGCTGGTGACACGGGGCAGGTGCTTTCTCTAGGCCTCAGTTTCTATCACTGCAAACGGCACTCCTGTCCCCTACCTTTGTAGGGCAGTGGTGACAATTCCACACCAAGCACAGAGTCAACACACAAGGGCTTGGTGAATGATAGTGAATGGGCCATTCTGACCCCACTTTACAGACAGGGAAACAAAGCAGGATGGGTGGTCACTTAGTGGCAGAAGACAGTAGATTGGTCCACTGAGCCCCACATGCTGGCTTTTTGGCCAGATGACACATTCTTTGGGTCTCATTAGATGAGGGAGCCAAAATTCCTTCTGCATCACTCTAAATAAAAAAATACAGAAATTGTCTTTGTTGAGCAGATTCTGGAATCAGCGCAGCTCTCTTGTGCCAAAAGGTTTCAGTTACTCAAAGGGGCTGCTTCTGGGCACTCACCTCTGAGGCTGCGGGGCGCCACTGGCATCTTACTGGGACTGGGGACATTCAGACCTGCATCACAAGCCGGATACTTCCACTCCCGAGCTGCTGACTCGGGGCATCCCGAGGCTTCCAGAGCCTAGCGTGTGCTCAGCACGCGCAGAGCAGACAGACGCTCTGTAAATGTTAGCTTGTCCTCTCTCGCCCTTCCTCGCTGCTGTAAGGACCCGAGGGACGGGAAGTCTTGGCCTCAGTCTGCGTGCAAATCGCTCCAGCTGACTAGACAGGAGGCACCGAATAAATGCACACTGCCACTAAAATGATGATCAATATGTGGAATTCCCGCCGCTCAGCTAAAAACCCACATCCTTTGGAAAACCATAGGTGACTCATGGTGCCTCTTCCTCTGTAACTCTTGGGTAGAAAATTCCTTTCCTTTCCAGCTCTTTAGGGAGGCAAAATTTTTCCCCAGGCGCAAAAGCTGCTCTTTCTCAAAATGCAGGGTGAGAGAAGGCAGTGTTGTGGGGCTCAGTGGTAACTTGGCGGGCTCAGGGCCAGCCCGGGGACCCCTAGGAGTGAGGACACATGAAGTTCACTTTGGCAGTGAAGAGAATCTAAACACAGGAAGCTAGGTTGACATGGCCGGGGTAAGACACAGGGCGAGAAGCAGCCACGAGGTGGGCAGAGTACCTCTTTGGAAGGCGCCCTGCACAGAGGGTCTTGGGGTCTGAGAAATGTAGGAACACCCAGAGCTCTGCCTCCAGCTCAGGCCCCTGAGCAGGGGGCCAGTAAAAGCAGTGTTCTGGCTTAAGAGTTGGGACTCCTGACCTCCAACCATGCCTCTATCTCTTCTGCCTTCTGTGTGACCTGAGCCAAGAGCCTCAGTCTTCCCATCTGCCAAGTGGGATTCTCTTGAGACACAAGAATAGGGTTGTCAGCCTATAAAAGGACAAGACGCCCAATTACATTTGAGTATCTGATAAACAATAAATGATATTTTAGTGTAAATGAGTGCTAAGTATTTCATCTTGTGTTCAAATGTAAGTGGGTATCTTATATTTGATCTACCCTGATCATGGAGACCAGAGGTGGGCACAAGATTTGTCAAGAATCAAGAGGGCCAAGGGCTGGGGTGGCATCATCTATTCCTCCAAGATCTGCATTTTTCAGCCAAAAATACTGTTACCTCTCTCAGGAGCCAACCTAGTAGACACAGGGATGATGAGAAATAGGAATACATGCCAAGGATGACAGCCAGGAGATGTAAACATCCCTTTGGGAAAGCTCTAAGGGTCAGGACTGCTTAGCCTGGAGAAGAAGCCTTGGGAAGAACAGACGGGGAGCATCTTACCCCTGGATCAGCCTCTCCCAGGGACAACGAGGACAACTTGGGCTCAAGGACAGGAACACTGAACAATGCAGGCTCTGTTAGGATGGACCAGTTCCCAGAGAGGGAGGAATTGCTAAGGCCAGAGGCGTTCAAGTTGGAATTTAATGACCATATGACCAGGATGCCCCAGAAAGGATTCCTGCTGGGCTTAGAGAGAAGTGGACTGAAAGACTTCCAGAGAGTTCTCTAACTGGAAAAGCACATGGCAGACACCGCTTTTTCCAAAACATCTAGGTCAGCACCGTGTGCCAGAAAAGGTGCCCAGCAAAGTCCTGCTGAATGGACATCAGGGTCAACAAGTATGTGACTCACATGTTAACACTTCCCCATCTCCAGTCAAGGCAGGCATCACTAATGGATTGAAGCACCATCTCCCACTGAATTCCAATGTAATTCTGAAATCTTCCTCAATACAACAATCTAGATAGCTGCTACCTGGCATGAAAATACCACACGTGCACATGCACACCTGTGTGTGTAACATAACAATACCAACAGTGGTCATTACTATGTCCTAGGCACTTCGTATGTATTAGTTTATTTAAAGCCTCACAACAATCCTCTGAGTTAAGTGTGAACATTACCCCATTTTACAGATGAAGAAATTGAGGCACAGGAAAGTTTAAAGAATTTGCGTAGGGTTGCAATTAAGTGAGTACAGAGTTGGGGTTGGAACCCCGGTGGTCTAGGTCCTGGGACGGGTCTCTTAGCCGCTGGATTGCACTGCGTGTTTCTGTGCTCCTAACAGGAGTAGGTACACGAGGAGCCCCCGAGGCTCAGAGAAGAGAGGCTGTAGCTGAGGCTCACAGAGCCGGGAGGTGGACACAGGTTACCTGACCTTGTGCCCCATCTCACCAGGCTCTGCGCCCCCCACTGGAGCAGGTTACCCCAGAATCACTTTCCATGCTCTGGCCTCTCTCAGGCCCTTGAGGCCCAGCCCAAGGTCAAAACTCACCCTCTGCAGGAGGCCAGAATCCACAGCGAGCCCAGAATCACCTAACCAAACAAGCCCTCAGGCCCTCCCCTGCCCCAGATGGAGTCAGTGGCTTGATCACCTCTGGCCTTCCCAGGTACACGGCCCTCAGTCCAGGCTTTCCAGCAGTAATAACTAACATCACGGTATTTTCCACTACTAGGGTCCACAACTGTTCACTAATTTTCTACTGACTGAGCATCAGCCTGTGTGCTAAGCACTGTGTGAGTGAGGAATGCCTGTTAATCCTCCCAACCAAGAATCCGCGCGGAGTCTACTCTCATCTCCGAGATGCGGAGCTAAGACAGGGTGAGCGACTCGGCCCGGGCCCCACGACCAGGATGTAGGAAAACTGTGACTTGAACCAGGTGATCCGGCTTCAAAGTCAGTACTCTGAGGGAATCACTGGCCAGCATGGTGCACAGGCAGCCCTCCGCTGCCCACTTGCTCTGTCTGGGCCTGAAGCCCCGCACTGCAGGGGGTGCAGCCATCACCCACCCAGGCTTCTCTGCAAAGTAATGGACAGGCAGCCCATGTAAAGCACACTGCCACTCAGCTCATTTAACTAATGAGCAAGCAGGCTCAGAGATGGCAGGTGACCCACCTGAGGGCACACAGCAAGTCCTTCTTCCCTCAGTCTCCTGCCCAGGCTGTCCTGTCCTACTCCTCTAGCCCCTCTTGGGGTTTGGTGACCGAGGAGTCCTTTCAGCACCCCCACCTGCGAAGCCCATTACCTGGCTCCATCTGCCTCCTGTCTCCCCCACCCCACCACCCCTGGGCATCTGTGTACTTACAAGGAGGCCGGGGACTCCTGGGGGCCCTGGTAGGCCCAGATCGCCCTGCAAATACAGAAAGCAAGGCAGTTATTCACCCTTCTCCCTCCACACTATCCTCTCAGGGCACCTGGTGGAACCTTTTGAAAAACATTCCTTTTCCTGACATGGGCCCCAGGGCTCTCCCACATCTGGCCTGGTATTTGGACAAGACCCTTCGCCCCTCTGCCATCAGCTGCCCACATCTGTACAATGGGGCAGCTGGAGTCCCATAGCCAGCATCTCCCAATAGGTATGAAGTGCAGGCAGAACTGCAGTGGGGCACCACAGAGGCACAGGGTGCTTTCCTTGACAGATGGGGAAACTGGATCTCCAGGGGCTCGGTGACATAACAAAGCCCTGCTTGTCCCCCAGTCTGGCTGGGCTCCGTCTCTCCAGGGCCTGAAATGCTGGAAGAGTTCTTGCCTGGGAGTCCAGGGATGGACAGTGCATGTGACCTGCCCTCTAACCCTCGGCCACCACAGCCCTACAAATGGATTTTCAGTTACACCGGAAAAGACAAGGGGAGGGGTTTGACTCAAGTTCAGAATGTTAGGTCGTGCATTGAAACAGGGGTTCTGGAAGGTACAGTGAGTGATGAGAACTGCCAGCTCCGGCTGGTGCAATCTGGGGGTGCTCAGATGGGAGGCTGTCATGAGAGCCGCCGACAGGAAGACAAGGATAAGAAGCAGCCCTGGCTTCAAAACAAGGAAGCTGAGGCTCGGCAACGGGAAATGACACATCCAAGGTCTCCTGGTAACACTGTGGCAGAGCTGGGGCCAGACATCAGGTCGCTGTCCTGTTTTATCCCTCCCCAAGGAAACTTCCAGAAGGGTCTTGTCCAGACACAACACAATGGCCAACCTGGTGAGTGCTGTGTGGGCGGAAAGGCTCTAGTCCCCCACCACGGCTTCACCAATGCTTTCCTCCGCTCAGCATGTTCCTCCTCTCTCTCTCACCCCAAGTCCGACGCCCTGTTCCCAGGGCTCTTCCCTGCTCTCCCTCCTCCTTTTATACCACCCAGCACACCGGGTCTTGTGCAGTGCACCGGGGCGGGGGCTGTGCCACCCTCCCCGCTGTGACCTGGAGTTTCCTACACCTCCATCTGCAGGAGACTTGTGGTGACTGGAACATGTTTCCTACCCTCAGCTTATGCCAAGTCAGGCCCCAGGGGGCCTCATTCTGATCCCCCGATCTACAGAGAAGGAACCTGAGGCTCAGAGGTAAACCTAACAGGTGGTACAGCAGGTTTCAAGCCCAGGTGCGTCCAGCTCTGAGGTCAGGGCTTGGACCCCAGGGAGCCTGGTGGGGTCAAGGTTGGAGAAAATTTGCAAAATGCAATCAATACATAATCAGATGCTGACCGTGGATGCAGCAGCCACCTCTGCAGAGGACACAGCTGGACACAAGCTGCTCAGGCAGGAAGCCCCAGAAAGCGACATCATGGCAAGTGTTCCAGAGAGCTCTGGGCGGGCTCTGTACCCCCCAACATACCCCCAGCCCAAGGATGACTGTTCTCTTCCCCAGGGCCTGGAGCCTGAGCAGGAAGGGAATGAAAACTCATCTCCCCAGGGCAGGCTGACCTGGCTCCTCAGCAGGACATAGCCTGGGCCTGGGATTACTTACAAATTCTATAAACATGCCTGCAGTGGAGATTCCTTTGGAGTTCGGCTGTTGCCCACCCAGGGCCTGCAGACAGTCTGCTTTCTCAGGCCACTGTGGCCCATAAATATTGCTGAGGTTCTGTAACATGGTGCAGCCGGAGCCTCTCCAGTGGGCAGTGACCCACGAACCTTCCCAATCCCCAGGGGTGAGGTACAGCCTCGGGCTTAGATCCAAGGAGCTGCGAACCCTCCTGGGACAGAGGTGGGGTGGGGTGTCATAGCAGATGTGCCTGGTGTTCAGAGAAGGCAGGTAATTTAGAGGGCACCCAGCCAGTAGGTCACAGATTGGGATTTAACCCAGGTCTGTCTGACCCCAAAACTGTGCTTCAGGCTCACTCTGAATTTCTTTCCTGTTCACACACGAAGTACTTACAGGGTTTCCATCAAGTCCTGGTGGGCCTCTTTCCCCAAAGTCTCCAGGGAAGCCCTGTGGACAGGAGAGGGGTTAGTGTTTGTAGCACGGGGGGCTTTGATCCAGACCCCAGGGTATACAAGGACAGTGTCTGAGCAGTCTCAGTGGATGTGGGAGACAGTGGGGTCCTGAGGTCATCCCCAGCCATCAACAAACAGTACTGCGCAGGGACAGGCCACTGTGGAGGGGCAACGGCCAGGCAGTCCTCTCTTTCCTATTCAAGTCTGAAAAGAAAAGTGGGTAGATGCCACTTCCTCCAAATCGCGACTTGCTCTCCATGAAGTGGGAGGGACATAAATGGAGTCAGGAAGCAGGGTAGATCTGGGCCTGGACCAGTCGCTGGCTGGCCAAAGGTCTGAAGGACATTCTTTCCCTGCTGTAGGCCTCAGTTTCCCCACTGGCACTTCCCTGCTCAGATCTGCGATTGTGATGCGCCCTGCCAAAGCCAGCCTGCGGAATCATGATCCCTGTTTGACAAGGAAATCAAGGCTGTAACAGGGAAGGTGGCTGGGCCACACAAGGTCACACAAGGTCGCACGGTAGGGAGCAGCCTCACGGCCTGCACAGGTGAGCTCTGGCAGCTCGGAGGCTCCCGGGCCCTCCCCAGCCGCACACTGGAGCCCGCTCCACACTTGCTGGGGAGCCAGACAGCTGGAAAAACATCAGCTGCACAGACACCTCAGGGGCCGGGACAGCGCCATTCCCACTTCAAAGGAGAAGGAGAGTCCTCCAGCCTGGAGCTGGGGAGACCTGTTCTTCCCCCCACTCGAATTCAAATCATTGCTTTTTCCAGGGAAATTTAATAAAAACACAAAGCACATGTTCCTGGGGCCAACAGAATGCCTCGAAGTTCAGACCACACAGCCCCCACCCGCCGGAGGACTATCTTGCTTTTGACTTCAGCACTAGTGGGAGATAGTGTAGTTTCAACCCCAAGACTCATCCTCAAAACAAAACCGAAACCAGCCACATAAGTCTACGACTTCCGCTGGGATGCCCTCGTGGGTCAGAGGGCAGGGGCGAATGTTGGTTCCCCACCAGGCCATTCGGCTTTGCTCAGACGCCAGAAGGAGACGAGGAGGATGCAGTGATAGGATTTGGACCAAGCCGGTCACTCTGCATGCAAAGCTTCACTTGTGCTTGACAGTCACCTTGAAGGAAAGAACACTGGTCCTATTTAACAGTTGGAAAGTTGGGGTCGAGAGAGGAAATGTCACTTGGCCGAGGCCATAAAACAAGGCTCTGGCAGAGCTGAGCCAGTACCCCCTCTCAAACATTCTGTTCCCACGAGCTGTGCATGGGTAAAGCTTGGTTCACAGGAGCTGCTGGGCTGTGTCCCACTGGCAGCAAAGATGTGTGCGTGTGTGCGAGTGTGTGTGTGTGTGTGTGTGTGTACGCAGGTGTGCAGGCTGTCTCTCCACCCAAGCTTCCTCTTCTGGCATCCTAGGAGTCTCTGCTGGAAAATTCTAGCCTTGCCCTGATCCCACCTCTCTCTGTCGCACTCTCGGGGACAGGACATCAGTGGTCAGGGGCACCTTCTAAAGACACTGGGTTCCCGCCTCTGGTCTTTGGAGGTTGCAGCACTGGGGCACGGCAGGAGTGGAGGGCAGCCCCTCAGGGAACAAGGGGCGCTGTCCTGCTGGGCACCTGCCCAACTCCGCTCCCACGAGGCACAGAACCTGAGAGGCCCTGCAGCTCCCCCGGTCCTGTGTCTAGACATGACCAGGCTTCACCCTGGCTCCTCTGGGCTGGCTATGTGACCACAGCCTCACTGCACCCTCTGTCCTGTGCAGCTTGGAGGTGATCTCTAAAGATCCTTCCAGCTTGCTGACCCCTAGACAAGGCTGGGGAGAAGGGAGACCCTTCCCCTAGGCACAGGATGGCACCCACTCTGGGCAAGCCTCCTCTGTCCTGGCTGCATAGCCCAGGGTATTCCCACTAACAGTGCCAAGCGGGTCTCAGATGCATGGCTTTGCACTGGGGGAGGTACCGGAAATTGAACTCAGGACCTCACACTTGCCAGGCAGGCGCTGTACCACTGAGCTAAATCACTGGCCCTTGGCTTTGCATCTGGAGGTGGCTCCAGGCTGCCTCCACATCCCCTGCAGCCCAGCTGCCCGGTCACCTCCCTGTGTCAGCCCTGGCTCCGCTATCCAGGACCTGTCAGAGCCTCAGCTTTGTCTTCAGTACGAAGGAAAACACCGTGCACGGGATTCATGGCCCATCGCAGATGGCAGCAACAGGAAGCTGTGAAGCAGAAGCCGGAGACAGACTCCTCCAGCTCACAAGTCTGTGTCCCAGAGGGAGTCACTTCTGCAGACTAATGCGGCCTGGGGACAGCCAGTGAGTGGTGACAACAGGGTGACCTCCCAGCAGACCCAAGAGATGGTCCCTATTATTGACTTCATTACAATTTTGTTTTTGTTTTTGTTTTGAGACAGGGTCTTGCTGTGAAGTTTAAGCTGGCCCTGAACTCCCTATGTGGCCCAAGCTGGCCTCAAATACGAGCCGATCCCCACTAGGATTACAGGTGTGCGCTACCACGCCAGGCATGCCCCATTGTACAGATGATGAAACGGAGACCTGGAGAGGTTAAGGGACTTGTCCAAAGGCCCACGGCTACGCAACGGCAGAGCTGGGATTTCAACCCAGGCAGTCTGACCGCAGAGCTGTTCTCTGAGCTGGGACGCAACAGGACAAACAGAGCAGAGTACAGCAGAGCTACAGTAAAGCTCATCACAGCCCTGGGCTAAGGCACAGACGGGCAGGCCTGAGAGGAGTGGAGGGCTGGCTCTGCCTGGACATGCAGGGTGGCCTCAGTGCCTGCCTGTGTCCATCCTCTGTCTCCCTACAGATGGTGCCCTCTGCGGATCTAGGGTTTGCCGTTACAAAACAGCTGCGACAAGGACAGAGTTTTCGAGGTGCAGGAACGAATGTCTGATGGGAACAGTCACAGATGATCCAAGATGGAAGGACTCCATACGCTTTTTTTGTTTGTTTTTTTTCAGACAGGGTTTTGCTATGCAGTTCAGACTCATGTTGTAGCCCAGGCTAGCCTCTCACTCTCAGTAATCCTCCTGCCTCAGCCTCCCCAGTGCTGGGATTACAGGGGTGCACCACCATGCCTGGCTTCCAGATGCTCTTGACATTCAGCACCTTGCTGAGCCAGCGGAGAAACTGAGGCCTAGAAAGCCCAATCATTCTTCAGCCCCACTCCCTCATGGCACACCCCGTTCCCAGCGTCACTCCAGGGCCTCTGATGCCCGGCCCCTCTGGGTCTCTGAGATCCAGCACTAAGCTGGACAGGCAGCCCCACAGATTTGCTGGTTGTTCCTGGTGGTACAAAGCAACCACATGGCAGCAAGCACCCCAGCCTGCCCGCAGCAGGGACGTCCTCCTCCACCGCCCAAGCTCTACCCTGCAGCAAGACGGCCCAAGGCCTGAGGCAGGAGCTCGGTCCCGGCAGGGCTCAGCCAGTGCTTCCCTCAGCCCCTCCGGGAGCTGAATGAGGAGAACTCTGAGTAGAACCAGGCCCAGAAGACACAGAGCAAGACTGGGGAATGAGACTTGCTATTCTCTCCTGGCCACACAACTGGGGAACAGAGGCGAGGACAGCACCGCACCGGCCCACATCCACAGGAGTGGAACACCGCAGAGACCTCGGGGCACCATCTTGTCCCCGGCTCTGCCTCCGGGCATGCGCTGTCCCGACTGTCTGCACCAGAGGGGCTCAGCAGGGAGGGCCGGAGCACCCAGACCCAAGTCCTGCTCAAGGCGGGGCTCCTTGGCCTGCTCCCGGCTACCCTGCCTCATCTGGCAGGCTGGGCTGAGGGGGGTGAGAGACGTCTACAGTGCAGCCTGGTAAACGCTGTCAGGCCGCTGTGCTGCTAGTTAGGGCTGGTACCAACAGTGTGATTGGTTGGTAACCTCTAGGAGGAGCCTGTAGAAAGATCATGGAGATCTGACAAGGTGCAGATTCCTCAAGTCTGGAAGTTCCTACCATATCTAACCTCATCCTTTCTACTACAGTCAAAGAAGCCCAAATTCATTCCCAGAAGCGCGTGCATGCCCAGGTACTGACCTAGAAAGGCCCCCAGAGACTCTTTCCATCCTGCCCTTTGCAATGTCACAGGGAATAAGGAGGAGGCAGGCAGAGTCTTACAGGGTTCCAGGGTCAGCAACAGTCCTGGGATGGCTCTGGAGACCATAACTGCAGCTCACAGGGTCTCCAGAGTAAGAGTCTTTATCAGTTGCCCCATGCAGAAAGGTGGGTCCTCTGTAACTTGGCTCCCAGCTCCCCAGAGAACTAGAAAGAGCCTTAAGCTTGCTAGGAGCCTTGGGCCGCTCTTGCCCCCACCCCAGGCAGCCGTGTCTCCAGGGAGGCCCAATGGCCCTGAGCCATACAGCCAGGAGGCTGGAGCAGGACTGGCCCGTCCACTCTGGCTTTAGGGTTTGACCTCCTGGCTGTGCCTACCCCTGCCCGCGGTGGCTGGACAGGGCCTGAGAGTTGCTCTGGGCAGCAGCCAGTTACCAGAACCCTAGCAGACTCAGTGACAGACTCGGTGCCAGCAAGACACAGGGAGGCACTGCACACCTTCCCAGCCACCAACAGGGGCCTTTGCTGACCTGGAGCCATGCCCCCAACAAGCCAGGACGGGCAGGAGAAAGCCTTCGGCTCCAGCCAAGCTGGTGACCTCCTCTACCCCAACCCCTGCTTGCAAACCACTCCACCTTCTCTTTCCAGCAGGTGTGAGGAGGGAAGGAGAGACACAGACTAAGTTTCCCTTCAGAGTGGAAGATGTGGGCAGAGAGAATAGGTACTGGCCAGCAAGGGTCCTGGGTCTGACACCAGCCGGCGGTGTGACCTTGGGCAGGTTACCTGCCCTCTCTGTTATCTGCTTATCTGTGTGACAAAGGCTAGGCCATGCCATCACTAAGGTTTCTGATCTCCCTTGGCTTCCTCTTTCAGCTCTAACATGGCAGGGATTCACGGCCGGGCCTCTTCCTGCTCAGGAAGTCTGGAAGCCATGCTCTGGACAGTCTTTAGGCAGGCGAGAAGAGCATGGGCCCTCTTCCAGTCCCACTCTGGCTCTCAACAGACACACGCCTGTGGCCCAGCCGCTTGCCTCCCTGACCCCGATTTCATCTGTCAAGCGGCAGAGCCTGGCCGTGCGGGGGTCCCAGGACACTCTGAGCAAAGCCCCCAAGGATGGCGGAGAAGAGGGACCAGGTGATGGGCAGCACCAGCCAAGTCATCTCCCTGCAGCTTGAACTGCAGGAAACAGACCCAGAGAAGGTGAGCCATCGGCCCTAGTCGCAGTACAGAGAGCCCTCAGCCACCGGGAAACGGCAAATAGGAGCAGTGACTGCCATTGCTTATTGCACCTCGTTACTTCATGGCAAGTACAGCAATCCCATAAGGTAGACACAGTTGTCACCGTTCCTCAGATAAACTTAGAAAATTTGAACCAAGCACGCCCCTGCCCCAGGGCCTTTGCGCCTGGTGTTACATCAACCTGGAATGTTCCTCTATGGGAAGCCATGTGGTGCCCATCCTCACATCATTCAGTCTTCTCATGAAGCAAGGAGGACCTCCCAGGCCAGCTTCTCCAACAGCCCACTTCCAGCACTCCCTGTCCCCCGTCTTGCTCTTGGCATTCTGCACGATCCCACATTCTTCCTTCCGTTTCTCTGCTTGATGCCTGTCCATCTGCCCCATGAGAGTGGGAAATCTGTCTCACAGCGCTTGGCTCGGAGCAGGCACGCAATGAGTAGTCACTGAATGAAGGAATCTCCTGGCTTAAGGCCACCTGGCTGGAGGGGCAGACTGAGCCCAGAACGGCAGGGGCTGCTCCTTGCCCATGTCGAAATGGCAGGTCTTGTGCCAGAGCACAGAGCAGCTGCCAGGCCACAGAGAGGGATAGTTCTGATGGTGGGGACCCCTCTATCTGCCCCTTGAGGAGGAGGGTGGACCCTATTTTTCTTTGCATCCCCACTTGGCCCCTGGAGGGCTCAGCTCCACCCCCTGTAAGGGTAATGACAGGCCACCGGCCACAGCATCACAAGTGACAACCACCACCAACCACAGCATCACAGAGAGCCCCTCTGAGCATTCCAAGGGCTCTGGCCCCTGTCCGGTCCCAACCTCTCCACCATCGCTTCTCTGCCCACTACGGGAGGCCCAGAGCAGGGCTGCCGGTGCTTCCAAGTCCAGGCAGAACCTGCGGGGCAGCAGCAGAGAGCCTGAGCCAAGCAACGGGGCCAGGCCTTCCAGGAAGATGCCACAGCTCTGCACCCCTACACTGGGACACCGGGCCTATCACACCGCCTCTCAGAGCCTCAGTTTCCCCTTCTGAAAAGTGAGACAGCTGGAATCAACAACTTTCCAACCAGGTGAAGATTTTAGGAATTCTGCTTTTACAATATAGCACTAACTAGTGAACTTAAGGGGCTGCCTCAAACAGCTACCGTGGTCGGAGGCCTTGGGGACAAACCCTCTAAGTCAGTCCTGGCTCCACTGTCTGGTTGCTGTGAAATCCTGGGCAAGTTACTTAATCTTCCTACACCTGGCTTTGCTTTACACCCTGTAGATGCCCAAACAAGGGAAAAACAATCCCCTACCATAGTGGGGAGGCAGAGAATAAGCTGGTGGGCTGGAAGTCATCACTGAACCCTTCTTGGGCCGCACCTGTGGTGGCCTGCCCCCACCCCACTGTCCTTCAGCCTTGTGTGTGCATGAACAAAAGGGACAGAGCCAGGCCACAGCAAGACGACATGGAGACCCAGGACCCCCGCCCAGCCAGGGCACAGACACTGACATCCTGGACAGAAGCCGGGGACACAGAAGTGCACAGGGGCAGCGGGGACCCAGCCAGGATAGCCCTGGAGCCGTGGCCGGCAGCAGCCACTCTGTACCGTGCTGGGGCAGGACCCGCAGCCACACGCAGAGCAGAGCAGAGCAGAGCAGAGAGAAGTGGACAGTGCTGGACCCGGCCAGGCGCACAGGGCAGTGCGGCCAGCGGGAAGCAGGTTCACCCATAGAGTCTGCGTAATAGACACGGAAAATCTTTACCGGCCTACCCATCTTGCCCTTCTTGCCAGGAACACCAGGCAGGCCCTGTGGGGGAGAGAGGGGACAGATCAGCACCGGACTCCAGCCCCAGAGCCCCGCCAGCAGGAGGTCACAGCGGGCTTAGAATACACGATATGTAGCCAGTGGCACTGATTATGGGCCCATGAGAGGGACGACCTGGGTTTGGGGGCTGCTGGGCCCCAGTTAGAGAAATGGCTAAAGAAAGTACCTAGTGTGCCTGGTATTCAGCAGCTGCTTAAAGTCACCCTTCTCCTGCTTTCTTAAGATGCTCTATGCCCAGCTAACTGTCAAGGTCACTCTGAGTCTCAGGCTCAGGCACCCCCCCCACCCACAGGGGCTCCTCATGGACATCAAGGTTGGGCCAGAGACCACAGGCAGCTCCTGTTCCTTCCCCAGATCCCCTGATTTAGACACTCAGTTTGGAAGGACAGGGCATCCAGGGAAGCTCAGCCCCTGCCCGCTTCTAAGTCAGACCCACCAGCTTCCCCGAGAGCTGATGCCCAGTCTCTCTGTGGAGCTCACTCATCGCCATCTCCCCCCAGGTGCAGACAACACCATCCTGTCCCTGGACACCAGGTCTTCCGGTCTCCCCTGCCCCACCCCAGTCTCCTGTCACTCCAGTAAACGGACCGAGCTGCCTCAGCCAGGGATGAGCAGCCATTTTGTGCAAAGAGGCAGATAGTGACTATTTTTGGCTCTGTGGGCCATCTGGTCTCTGTCACAGCTTCTCAGCTCTGCCACAGTAGTGAGACAGCAGCCAGGAACCATAGTAAACAAATGCACGTGGCCACGCTCAATAAAACTTTATTTATAAAACAAACCACTGACTGTAGTTCACAGGGCTCTGATCCAGAATGTGAAGTTGGCCCATTTCTCATTTGCTGAAAACCCTTCCGAGACTCCCAGATAGCGTCCCTTTCCTCACCTCAGCCCCTGGGTACTGCATAACTTCACCCGTCCTGGCGCCCCTGCAGCCTCCTCTCCTCACTCACCTTCTCACTGGGGCTCTGACCATGTTAATGTTGAACTCGCCAAGTTGTCAGATGCCCCTGACTTTGCACATGCCGTTCCCTGAGCCTGGAATGAATGCACCCTGACTTGTCCCCCTTTGCAGCCCCCTACTCCTCCCAAGGGTGCCTCCTCCAGCAGGGATCCTGTGACTTCCGGGGCTGGTACCTAGCAGGTTCTGCTTTACATCAGCAGGGGCAGGCTGGCAGGGTGAGCAGCCCAAGAAGCATGCTTACCCGCTCTCCATCGGACCCTGGCAGGCCGAAGAGCCCTGGGATTCCGATGTAGCCCTAGGAGAAAGCAGATGGGGATCAGAGGGTTCCAGTGGTGAGTTGTAGCCAGCCCAGCCAGTCCCACCCATCCTGCTGCCTTCCCCATCCAGGTCCTCATCCTCGCTGGCAGCAGCGGCAGCTCCTGTGCTCCTCGACGGACGGACGACATAGGCCTTGAGGCAAGTGTATATGCCCATGGACTGCATGGTGCTGGCTTCCACGATGTAGTCCAAAGGCACATACCCTCACGCCAGGGAAGGGCACGGGCACTCGCGGACGGAGGCCCGCCCCGCACGGGGCTCCAGACCTGCGGAAGGAAGCTCGCGTCTGGGTCAGATGCTAGTGTGGTCCCAAGTCCTACCCATGCCAGGAACACTTGAGGGTGCCTGTGGCTCTTGCAGCAGCTCCTCAGAGGCCTCGAAGGTCCTGGCCATGAGGCATGGCCACCCGCTGCCCCCTGAGTACCAGAGTCATAGCAGCAGCCACCCTGACATGCAGCCATCCCGCCGGACACGTGCTGCTGCCTTAAACTCTCAAAGGACCCTGAAGCCTGGCTGTCAGCCTTCGCAGGACATATAAGGACACTGAGGCAACACAGTCAGTCAGTGGTAGGGCTGGGAGTCCTATTAGCCAGCTTAAAGCTTACCGAGGTCCTACCAATATGAAAGCCTGGCCACACCACCATGCTATGGTCCAGGTCAGGATTGCATCTTATTTCCCACTTTCCCTCCTGTTCCCTTGGTGCCCTCCATCAGACCTCCTTCCCACCCTCACGACTGCAGCACCGAACTCGGCAAAGCCACCTTGATGCACTCTCCCCTGGCCACACCCTGATGCCCAAGCCTGAGCAATCTCCCTTCCATCCAGCACCCTGTTGGCACTCCCGTTAGCGGCACCTAACACTGTCCCCCTTCTCTTATATTCCTTCCATCCAAGCTTCCCCTCCTCATTATGCTGGGCACTTCTCAAGGGTGAGGATCTAGCCCAGGGCTGGGACTACTATCTGCACTCTCTCTATTTGTGGAATGACTTAATGATGACTGTAACATAAGCTACCATTGACTGATCACACACTACGTGCCAGGCCCAGCTCACAGTCCTGTGCTTGCATTAAAACATTTATTGCATCCCTATCACACCCCCAGGGAGTTGGTATTATTGGTCAGCACCTTGTAGAAGTGAGAACATTTAGGCCCAGAGAGGTGAAGTGACTTGCCCAGAGTCACACAGACCCAATGTAGTAGAGATGACATCCAAAGTCAAGTCATCTGACTCCTGGGCCCTGGCTCCTAACCATGTACGCCACTGCCTCCCACAAGCAAGCAACCAAGGGATGGTCACAGCCATCTGTCCTTCCCTGGACAGCTAAGAGGTCTCTGAGTCTCAGCATCCAGCACGTTTATTGTTTATAATTTTAAAGGGTGACATTTACTGAGCCTTCCAAGCAAGGTCTAGGTCCCAGAATTACACGTGAGGAAATGGGCTCAGGGAGGCCCAGTGATTTCTCACAGCCAGTGACTGGTGGACAGTTCTCAGAGCCAGTCACCACAGCTCCAAAGCCTGGGCTGAGCTTTGCCTGCCTCGTGACACCAGGCAGGCAGTGACAGAGGCTGGTGGGCAGCCTGAGTGCCCCAGGCCCTGTGACCTGAAGGGGATCGGACTGTGTGGCCCTCTTTCTACATGCGGCTTCAAGATGCCACCAGCATGGCACACACCAGGCAGCCCCAAATGTCATGAGCATGTGCTGTCTTCCAGCAGCTGGAACCAGAGCTGGGATGAGAAATGTTCTCCCTGGGCTCAGATGGCCCCTTGGAGGCCACAGCTCACAGGAGCAGCTGCAGGTTCAGGACCCCAGGGCAGGCAGCTCCGCAGGCCTCCAGGTCACAAGAACATCCTGGGAATGTGCTCCCTCTTGCCTCCTTCAGCCTGGACAGGGCTAACATGTTGGCTATTCTGCCCTCTCCTTTCCCCAGGGTATTACTAGCTTTAGCTCCAGAGTGCAGGAAACATCACGCAGGACCTGCCCTGACTGAAGACAGCAGGTCTTGCTCGCCAAGTATTCCCAGGTCATGGGACAGCAGGGCCCCATCCCAGAGCCATCTTGGGCGTGCAGTAGAGGACGGGTTGAGGGGGAGGTCTGGGCCCCATCATGACCCTGGGCTCCCTATAGATGGCAGAGAGGACTCCACCAGATCAGCTCATAGTCTTCCTCCTCCACTTTTCCTCCTTCAACACACACAGGACCTTCTCTGCCTCCCCCAGCCTGTGTGGAACTCCCCCCAAGCACGACCTACTCAGAGGTACTGGATGTCAAATTCCTGGCCCGCCCCCAAGCCTCTGAGAAGTAGGAAGAAACACAACTCCTGTTGTACAGACAGGAAAACTGAGGCTGGAGGAAGTAGGGACTCCACAGCTGCCCCCTCCTCCCCACCCTGAGACAAGGAGAGAAGCCTCTGAGGGTACCACGACAGGCACTTCAGACGGTCTCCACTTTGGTCCCATGGTCACAAGAGATGAACAGGGACACAGCAAGAACATGCCTTATTGGTGGCAGCTGGGCGTGGCCAAATCCCAGCAGAGCCCAGGCCACCCAGACCGTCTGACCGTAGGACCTCACCCAGCCTGCCCCTGGTCTGACTCTCTGGTGAGCCCCAGGCGAGAAGGCCTTGGTTCCAGCCCGACAGCCTTGACCTCTTATGTCCATTGTGGGGACAGGCAATGCCCACCCAGGATTCCATCTGTGTGGCACTGGCTGAGGACCACTTACCCGGCTGCCTTTAGGGCCAGGGTCTCCTACAGGTCCAGGTAACCCCTGAAACACAAAAGACAGGGGCAAGGACATATGGAGACTTCCTCCCCACTGCCAACATCACAGGCAAATCCTACTCCAGTCTCAGCTGCCCGTCTGGGGTGGGTTAGACGGAAGGTCCTCGGCCTGAGCCCACAGAGCCTCCGGGAGGGGAAGACCCTCTGGGGCTCCTCCCTGGAACCTAAATTCCTTGAACTGAGGACCTAGCCCTGGTGCTTGCAAAGAGGGGCTTTGGTGCCTGGGTGTGGCCACCCGGACAGCCCGTCCTTAGCCTGCAGCCCCCCTCTGCCTGGGGTACCCGCGGTCATCTCTGCCGTGGCCAGAGCTTGCAGAAGCCATATACTGCACCTGCCTGCCAGGGTAACCTTTGGCCCCTGGGCTGCCCTCGGGTCCCGGCTGCCCCTGCAAAGGAACAGAGAGAACTGGGATTACAAGAAAGGAGGGGGAGGGGAGGGGAGAGGAGGGAAGCGAGAGGGGAGAGGCAGTACCCAGCTCTGGGTCTGGGGTGGTAGGGGCCTGGGGATGACAAAGCACAAGGAAAAGGGTAGGAATGTGAGACAGGGGCCCCCAAGCCCACTCCTCTCCAAAACCAGTCAGACCAGCTCTGAAGGACAGCACCTCTGCTTACAGCCAGAATCAGAGAGCTCTGGGGGGCCTGGTGGGCTTGGGCTCTGGCAGGGCTGCTATTGACTTGGGCCGGGTAGCCAAATTCCTGCAAACCCCATGCGTGCTCATGGATAATGTCCCTAACATTGCAGGGAACAGGCCAGCTATTCATGGCTCCAACTGGAGTAGGGTAGCTCCTGCCATCTCCAGGCCAGCGTGGACTCCTTCAGGGCAGCGCGGCTGGGTAAGCTGTAGGGAGGGCTGAGCAGGGAGCCCCCTGTGGGCTGGGAGGCAGAGGCAGGAGCACCTAGCCGGGGCAGGTCCAGGGAAGAGGCAGGGGTGGGAGGAGGGGGAGTGCAGAGCAAGCGAGGGCCTCACCTGTTCTCCGGGGTGCCCTGCAGGTCCAGGGTAGCCCTTGTGTCCCTGTGGGGTGGGGGTGGGGGAGAGCCTACGTCAGGCAGGGAAGACACACAATGGCAGGGCCTGCTCCCTGTCTGCCTGTTCAGCTGCCACATCAGGGGTGCAGGATGTGCTCAGAAAACACCACCCAAGAAGATGCAGCGACTAAGGGAGGGTTGGAGGATGCTTATGCCTCCTCTCTGCTCCCACGGGTCTTAGACCAGATGTGTGTGTCTGCAGGTGTCTGTGAGCTCAATAGGACAGAGTCACTGGGGTCCAGGCACGCTGCACCCCAGCAGCTCCTTCAGGATCCATGGAAGGGAGAGTCTGTCAGTGGACAGTGGTCAGAGATTGGAGGAGGACCCCAGGTGGGACACGCTCAGCCACCATGTGCGGGAGAGGCCGCCGTGTTGAGACTGTCCCTTCTCCTAAGCCCTAGTCAGAAAAGATGTCATACAGACCAGCCGAAGACAAACAAGAATTGCTGCCCCCCTTCCTCCCACTGTCCCCACCCTGCTCCAGGGATGAAGAGGACACCGACACCCAAATGCGTGATTGAGGTGACACCCCAGGACCAACTTTGACCCTCTAACCCAATGGCCCGGCTATCAAATGGAGTCTATAGGGCAGGAGAGTCGAGATAGTTGTGTGCTTTCAGGTGGCACGAGGACAAGCGTCTGAGCCACTTCACAAGAATCAGGAGGTCAGCGGAGGAAGCCTAGACTCCACCCCCGCCAGCTTGAGGCTGCAGTGAAAACGAGGTGGACAGGGGTTTCCCTGGCAGCGTGACCCCCCTCCCCCGGGAGCCCTGAGCCAGGTTGAGACACAGTCCCTGACAATCCCTGACTCAAGGTGCAGCTCTGGATGGGCCACTGCCCTACTCTGGGGTCACACATGGGGACCTTAGAGCTCCAAGCCCTCTTCACCTCTGATTTGGGATGCCAGAGCTTTAAGAACACCAGTGTACGAAACACACACCAGAGTCAAGAGCAAGACTAGAATACGCGTGGGAATGCACACCCCCTCATGACACATACATTCCACACAGGCGCCCCTGAAGGCCCCCTCTGTGTATGGCTTCTCAATGGGGACCACACGGGAGTGTGCGACCTTAGCCCTACAAAGTCACATGGGGTTGGGGTGAGGGGTGGGGCATCTCCATTTCAAAGGGGAAAGAGTCCAGGGCAGACAGCCTCCCTAGCAGCCTCTCCTCTCCCAGACACCCCCAGGCACACACAGGCACACGCACACGCACACAACACGGCCACCTCCCCACCTCCCAGGAACTGGCACTGCTGATTATAAACAGTAGACTCGTCTGATCCAAGAGGTCTGAGGAGTTTACAAGCATTCCTTTTGCACCTCCTCACAAATCGCGATTGCATTTCCCATCCAATCGCCTGAGGAGTAGTGGGTGGGGCGTGAACTCTTTCCCAATAAGCAAAAAGGCACTGGGCTCAGCCAGGGAGTGGACCAGATCTCTGTTTCAGACGGATCTGGATTCCAGTGCTGGTCTGCCTACTGGCCAGCTGTGTGGCAGGGAGCCACCTCTTCACCTCCTGGTAAGACGAGCATAGGAGGGTTGCTCCATGGATTGTCCCCTCTGTGCTTAAAGCACTTAATCACAGTATCTGGCCCTGAATTCAAGACCCTGCAGAAGGGGCTGGGGATTTAGCTCAGCGGCAAAGCGCCTGCCTGGCAAGCACAAGGTCATGAGTTCGGTTCAGAGAAAAACTAAAAAAAAAAAAAAAGACCCTGCAGAAACTAGCTGCGGTTACTGCCATGGTCTTCCTTTTTCTTTCATTCCACATTTGATGAGTTTGCACAGGAAGAATAAGACAGGCAGCACCCTTTGCCTTAATGGGGTTTGCATTCTTATTCGGGAGCTATAAAAACAAAATAAGTATAAAAGATAATGCCAGGCGGGGGCGGGGGCAGGTGCAGATTGTGTAAGGGGCCTGGGGTTTCAGTTTTGCAAGAAGAACTCTGGAGACCTGTCGCACAACAGTGAGTGTACTTAACACTTCTAAACTCCATTTAAAATGTATAAAATGTATATATATTTTTGCCATCATAAAAATAAAACTAAGATAAAAGATCTAATGTCTATTAGTGACCAGAGCTACAGAAAAAAGCAAAGTTAGGGGGCTGAGTGGCCATACTGGGAAGCGGGGGGGGGGGGGGCAGTGACTGCAAGGAAGATGGCCAGGAAAGATTGCCTTGAGCAGATGAGTGAGGTACAGAGGGGACACCAGCCTTGGGGAAAGGCATTCTGGGTAGAGGAAACAGCAAGTGCAAAGGCCCTGAGGCTGGAATGTTCTCAGTGGGCTCAAGGAAGCACAAGGAGGTCTACGCACCTGGAACAGAGCAAATGAGGGTGGTCAGAGGAGCAGGATACCAGGGCACCCATGATGGGAGGCCCAGGAGGGTTCTGGGCAGGGACACAGCATGACATGGGGCAAATGGTCATCCCTATTGCTGTTTTCCACCCTCTTCTAGAGACGCGCTGAGCCAAGCTGTACACTCTTGGCCGTGGGACTTGGTGTGGCCAAGTCTGCCATCCTCCATGCCTTCAGGATGCTGCTTACGGACTAACAGAGGCAAGGACCCCGAGAGAAGCAGAAAAGGCACGTCCAGCAGCCCCAGCCATCACCAGCTCCTGCGGCTTCCTCTGCAACCACCAGGCAACCTGCCCAAAACCAACTCTTTAGTGCCTCCTCCCTGAAAGGAAGGGGAGGCATCTACGTGACGTCCTGACGGAACACGTGGCCACCAGGCAATGCACAATAGTAGCGGCAAAACCATAGACAATCAGCTCACCAACTCTCCCATCACTTCGCAGAGGCAGGAACTACCGTGCATGTTTAGCAGCTCAGGAAACCGAGGCTTGGAGAGGGAAACAGACTTTCCTGAAGCCACACAGCTTTCTAAGGACAGCACCAAGATTGTGGCTCAGTCCCCACATCCTTCAGCACCAAATCGCTGAGGGCCGAGCCCCGCCTGGAAGAGCCATGGGGCCACCCAGGGGAAGATCTCCTTAGAGATGCACCTCCCAGGGACAGAAGCTCTCAGGTCACTGCAGTATACGTGGGGCAGAGGTCAGTCATGAAGCCCTGTGATACGCAAGTTGGAAGTGACCTAACACATTTTGCTAGGTTCCTTGTCCATTGGGCAAATAAAGAAACAGAGGCTCGGAGAGGGAATGGGGTTTGGCTCAAAGTTATTTAGGAAGCTATGTCTAGACTGGTCCCCGGGATGCTCAGCCCCTGGGTGGGCTTAGTCAGAAGCCCATGATCCAAGGGGCTTGAATGTGGTTAGGAACCCCGCATTTCTTCTGGTTTCCAGGAGGCAGCGCAGACCGAGGGCAGTCAAGGTGAGAGGTGACAGTGTGAAGGTGCTGTGTTCCCAGAAGCACCCCGCAGTGTTTACCAAGCTGGGTCAACAGACAGCTTTAAATGACAGGGCCCCAGGCTCAGTGGGGGGGCACGCCATCATCTTCTCCAGGGCCCCAGCAATTATGGGGCAGCACTGACTGCAAGGTGGAACCAGGGGCAGTGATTTCCCAGTGGTGCTAGGTGCCCTCTGGGCACAAGGGGATGGGCAGTGTTGCAGGGGAGCTCCGGGGACCACAGTGTCTGCACTGGGCTGCTGGCTGCTCAGCCAGCGGGTCTCCGCAGGACCATGTTTATAATACAGCTCGGTCTCTATTTTGGTTTGAGAGCCAGATTAATCATTGCTTACAATGCACAGGGAGAAACCAGACATCACCTCACTGTTGCTGTAGACAGGCTCCCCAGCTGGCAGGGATGCTATCTGGGCTTTGGGCAGAGTGGGAGGGGGTCCTGTCTTTGCCTGAGGGTCCGGACACTAACATGGGCTCACAGCTCAACTACTCACCCAGGCTCCAGCTCACCTGGTGCAAGGTCTCGGCTTTCCTTGAGCAAAATGGAACTTGCCAGTCTTGCTTAGTGCTCAGGAGCCTTCCCACCAAACCTGCCTGCCACCCCGGCCACCCACAGCCACCCTGCACAGTTAGCAGGGAAGGGGGTCAAAGAGTAAGAAACACACCAGGCCGAGAGTGACTTGTCCCAAGGTACTGCACATGACCCTGCACCTCTCTGGGGCTCGGTTTCCAGAGCTGGCCTCTCCAAGCATCCTGTTGGCTTGGAAGCCGCAGGATTCTGAAATCTGTGGCAAGTCTAGAACAGTTCGAGAAGGCACAGCCACACATCAGGTATAACACACTTATGTATGTGTGGCTCATTCGTACATGCAGCTGCTCATTTATGCAGCAAACATCTGCTAGGGCCCAGCAGTGACAGAGGGATAACTGAGATACCCCTGCCGCTGCCTTCCAGAAACAGGTGTGGGCACGAAGCAGAATTAATGCAGTAAAGGAAGTGAAGAGCCCAAGGCCGGGAGGTGCAGATGCACCCAGAGAGGCAGCACTGTCAACTGACGCTGGGAGGGCCAGGGGTGGGGCAGGAAAGATGGATGGGAGAGGAGCCACCGAAGCCCAGAGCTGCTCGGCAGCAGGAGAGCCTGGAGGAAGCTCTTTTTGGGGACTCTGCCTCCCTCAGGAAGTAGTGGCAGGTCCAAAGAAGGCAGGGACCCTCCCAGGCAGCCACATCCTCCCCAAATACTCCCAGGTGAACCCTTGCATGTAATCCTAGCTTCCCATGGACAGTGGCCAACTCAGGCAGCACAGGAGACCTAATAAGCCACAGGGGGAGCAGGGAAGTCAGGCTGGAAAGAGGGCACATGGGCCTCAACTGAAGTACAGATCTTGCTCCATTAGTCATGTCTACCCGGGGCAACACTTTAAGACTGAGGTCACCTGGGATTTGGCATGAAAGATCCACTGGTGATGTCTGCCAGAGGCAGGACAAGAGGGGTGGGAGGCCAAGCCCTGCATGGAGACAGATCAGCATGCAGTTCTGTCCTCCAGTGCTCACTCCAATAGGAGAAACGGGCTGAAGACACCAGTGAGTCACACACAACCATGACTGGATAAGAGGCTAAGACAGGACAGCATCTCATTTAACCCCATCCACTCATGAAGCAAGTAAGGCCAAAGAGGGACAGAACTGGGACCCCCTTCAGGTCCATCTGAGCCAAACCTCCAGTGGGAGATTCTTGCTCACTTGATGGGACCTCTCTGGGCTGAGAAGCTCTTCCTGTCAGCCTTGTGGTAAGAAGAAGGGACTGAGGGTTGGAAGACCTGGGCTCAAATCCCACGCTTGCTGCTTGGTGCCTGGAGAGCAACGAGGAAGTGGACCCACCTCTCAATCCCCCACATCCCTTCTTCCCGGGGCTCCCACACAGGTGATGCAGCAAAGCCAAGCTGGGGAGCCAGAAGGATGCTTCTCCCTGCTCAGGGAGCTGGCTCCTCTCGGCTGGGGGCTGCCAGCCTCTCCTGACCCCAGGCAAGAGCTAGTTCAAGTCTACTTCTCCATCCCCCGCTCCCCTGTGAGACTCCCGCAGGGGGCATGGCCACTTGGTGAGGCAAGGCTGAAAGGAGCCTCTTCCACTCACACCTCATCCGTCAGAAAGCACTAGAGCCCAGAGCGGGGGACGGGGAGAGGGGACGTGTCTGAGCCAGGACAGACCATGCCACGCTTCCTGTGCTTTCTGTCTGGGACTGGCCTGGGACGTGAAGTGTGGCCTACTCTGGCCATGGAAGGTGGAGGACAAGGCAGTGGGCGTGGGACGTGGGCCTCCAAGTCCTGCTGTGCTGTGGGGGCCTCGAGGCCAGGCCAGGATGGGGCCAGGAGAAACCACAGGTGTCCACATGAGAACCAGACAGCCCAGAGAGAGCAGCGGCAGCCACAGCTGGGAGCCAGGCCGGAAGCGCAAGATGGCCCTGGGCTCAACAGTGAGAGTTTCCTGCAAAAGGTGAAGGAACTCAGGCCTGTATGACTCCCCAGCTTCCTGAACACCTCTTGTGCAACCCCGTGCCAGGCTCAGAAGAGACAGCGATGGACCCATGTGTGGGCCCTAGTTGTCCAGTGAGACCCAGGACTGACAACAACCGAGCGGAGCTCAGCCAAGAGTCCCTGAGCAGGTGGAGCTGACAGCCTGGAGATGGGGTGTTCTGGAGGGCTTCCTGGGGGAGGGCCAACTGGAACAGGGTCTTGAAGGGTGGGAGACAATCCTGAAGAAGCCAGAGGAAGGAGTGAGAGACCCAGTCTAGGAAAGTGGCAGACCTTCCCCTGACTGAGCGCTTAGGAGTGTGACCTCCAGCAGGGCTAAAGAGGGGAGGGGGCTGGGTCGCACAGCAGCAACAGCAACACAGAGAGGCCACTGCCTTGAGTGACTCTTTGCCCTCCAGCGCAGCCCCTGGGGCGGGTATCAGACTCAGAAGGGTGACTGACGGGCCCAATGTCGTGAAGATAGCAGCAGAATGCAAGACCAACTGACCAGGGAGCCCCCTCCCTCAGGCCCTCCAGGCCTGGCTTCTGGGTCATGCAGCCCCAGCCCGGTCCCTCCGGCTCTGTGGACAGAGTTCTTTATCTCCTCCAGTGCCCTGGAGGGAAGGAGTACTGTACTTCCTTGGGAGGAAGTACAGTAAATTGGGCACCTTCTTGTCACACCTCATTAACCACAGTGGGAACAAACTCCACATCAAGGTGCCCCCTTCTCCGGGCAAGCGCAGCCCTCCAAAACCTCGCACATTTCCCACCAATTCTCTGGTGCCCAGGGGAACCAGGCAGGGGCGAGGGAGAGCTGGGGGCCCAAAGTGCTCCAGCCCGAGACGCAGTGTCCCAGTGAACCCAGAAGTCGAGGATAGGCACTAGCAACAATGCATACCTTTCTTCCTGGAGGTCCTGGATTCCCGGAGAGCCCAGGCAGGCCCATGTCACCCTGCAAGACACAGACAAGGCGGGTGAGATGGAGACACGGGTTAAATCCTAAGTGTGACTGCTGATGGCTGGGTGTCTCCAACTCCTCATGGGGGTTCAGGGAGCCTCAGAGTGGATTCCAGGGGGTGATCGAGCAGAGGAGGGGAGCAGAAGGGTGAGCAGGGTACCCAGCCCCAACTCACTAGCTCTGCTGGATCTACTTTATGTACCGGGCCTCCGGGCAGAAGAGTTTGGAGCATGGGCTCTGACGCTAAGACTGTGGCGTAAAGCCACACCCAGGAGATGTATGCCTGTCCACCTGTACCAATCAGCTTTCCCCTGCGTCCCTGAGGCACCTCCCATGGCTGGGCATGGTGCTCACCAAGCACGTCAACAACCACCACCAGACCTGGGAGCAGGCCACATAGGAGTAGGAGCAAAGCCTAAGTCCCTGCATGTAATTCCATTCTACCACTTACTGGCTGTGCGGGTTCCAGAGAGTCTTCTTTCACATCGGGGGCTCTGCTTCCCATCCACAAGCTCAGCCCATGGGTCCTGGCTTATAAGGTTAGGGGAAGGACCCAGTTGGGAGTATAATGTGGACACTGTCCTGGACCCAGGGCACCCAAGATGTGTTTGCAAAGTGAAAAAGGTCTGCAGTGAGGATGTGAAGCAGTGACCCACCCATTAGGAGGAATAGCCACTCCCGTGCGCCCCAGCACAGCGGGCTGGCTTGAGGCAGTGCTCCGGCTTTCCAAGTGGCTCTTGGAACACATCCAGAAGGAAGACAGACAGCCATGAGCATTCTTTTAGGTTATATGTGTGTGAGGCCCAAGATGACCTGCTGAGAGCTCAGGCCCCTCTTCCCCTGCCCTCCCTCCAGGCCCCCTCAGCTCCGGAGGGTGCTTTGGGGATGGAGGGAGTTCCGCGGCCCAAGTGTCTCCTCTGCAGGCAAACTTTCTAGTCGCATAGCACTCGGGATTCGGGACCCAGGGTGGGTTGGGGTCTGTTAGAAAGCTTCCTGGACAAGGGCTGCCAAGAAGCTTCTGGATGCCAGGGTCACCTAGCAGAAAGCCAAGCAGGCAACAGCTCACTTGCCACCATGTGTCCAAAGGCAAACCATGCCCTGTTTTCTTGGTTGCACCCCAGGATGAAAGCACCAGCAATGGCCCAGGCTCAGTGTTGGGAAAGCCCAAAAGATTTCCGATAAAAACCGGCCGCCACGCCCCTCCCAAACCTGTCCTCCTCCTGCCTGTCGAGCACGGCCACAGCAAGGTCAGCTCCCCGCAGGGTGGCGGGGTCACCACGGTCTACCTCCCCCTTCCCTCAACACTAGAGTCCGTGGAACCTACCTTTGCCCCATCGTGGGCCTGTCCTGGTGAGAGCCCCAGGTCCCCTTTCTGTCCCTGAAACAAAAACAATTCCACTTTGGCTACCAAGTCACCTGGAGAGGACGTCTCCCCACAGACTCTGCTCAAAGCTCTGCGCCCCTGGGTCAGTGCCTTCCCATCCATCCTCCCACTCACAGCCCCCAGGGTGTTTTCTCTGATTCCATTACACACCTGCACTCAACACCTGCCATAGCTCCCCAGTGACTGCAAAGTCCAAGCTCCTCCTTTTAGTGACCCGAGTCCCATGGTCTGGCCCCAGCCATCTGGTCCAAATCTTGCTCTCCTGCCACCAGCCAAGCCCACAGAGAGGGGCCCTGGGCTGTATCACCAGAGCATAGCACACTTCTCAGTCATGGCCTGCACAGTCTGAGCACAGACCCTGCTAAGCTGCAGCCCATCTACACAGCCGGTCCCCAACCATCAGCCAGCTCTGCAAGATACAGCTGAATGTACCCTTCCCAGCCAACTACACAGGTCTGGGCCATCATGCAGGTGACCAGTCTGCCTGTGCATGCTTCCGGGACTGTCCCCCGCCCATCTCCTGGAGCTCCAAGGGGGTTTCTGAGCAATGAGGCATGCTGGTTCTTTTCCATTCTCCAGAGAGCTCATGCTCATCTCCTTGCCCTCTAATCACCCAAGGCACTGCGCCGACAGCCGCTTAACATCTTCACCACCCTTCCTTCCCAGAACAGCTGGAGGAAGTGGGCAAGGGAAGTGTGACTACCCTATAACACATCCGGGGAATGCAGGCCCGAAGAAGGAACTGTGGGAGGTCCCAGGGCATGGGCACTGGCAGAACGGAGACTAGCACCCTGTGACACCAGACCTGTGTTCTAGGCTGTCCTGGAAGCAGATGAGTTACAAGAGTGAACTGGGGAGAAACTGACAGGAAGTCAGTCCCAGGTGGGAGGAGGCAAGCTCTCTTCAAGCCCAGCATACAGGACAGTCCCTGTCACAAGGATCCTGACCCCTGAGAGCCTGGAGCACAGGAAAAAGGCCCCCAGAGTTCACCAGCTGTGTTTCTCACAGGGACCAACGTGAGGCTTCTAGGCTTCCCCCTGTATGCCATCAAACCCCATTCATTCCTCAGGAAGCAGAGCTCTGGGAAGTCCTCCGCCCTGACGTCACTTTCTTAGAGCTCCGAATCCCTGTCCCCTCTCTCCTCATGCCAGTTTCTTCCCATCCTTTCCTCAGTTGAGCCCAGAGTCCTAGGGTGCAGCCCTGGGCCTGCCATGGACTCACAGAGAGGCCTCGGGCAGTACACTCCTATCTCTGAGCTTGGTTTCCTCCCTTTAATATGGGATATGCACTTGTGCGCATGCGCACATGCCACACACACACACACACACACACACACACACACACACACACACACAGAGTCTTTCCAGGGTTGCCAGGCAAGAGGCCAGTGGGATAATGGCCATGACACAGGGGAAGGGTGGCTTGGCCAACTTTAATTAATTCCTATTTGAGTATTTTCTTCATCAGAACTCAGACCTTCCAAATCCTGACTCAGTCACTCTTTGTGAAAAATTGGTGCACGGGAAAGAGCCTCCCGGAGGGAAAGGGATGGCCTCTCGATGCTCCCCCACTACATGCAGACACTGCTGGGCACTCTCTGTGCTCTGACTCGCTTGCTCCAGCAAAGGACAAGGGTCCCCTGGGGTTCAGAGCAGCTGGGCACAGCCTGAGCTAATCCAGCAGGTGAGAGGCTGGGTTCCCGATCTGCACATCGGAAGACCGGATGTTTCCCCCACACTCCTCCCGCTCCCCAGCCACCTGCCCCAGGTCAAAGGCCAGCTCTACCTGGGCGCCTTCTGGTCACCTCTGCAGAACCCACCCCCGATCTACCTGGCACTGCAGTGGCCCTCACGGACACTCTCCACCCTCGCCGCTCACAAACCCAGCTCCACACCTTTTATGTCCATGGTACAAGGCCAGGGCCAGGACTAGTGAGGATTCTCATGGCCAAAAAAGGATGGAGCTGCTCCTCGCCCGCCCTGGCCCACCTCACTCTGCAGCCAACGGAGAAGCTGGCACAGAAAGCATGCAGGGTTGGGTCTTCATGCACCCTATTCTGTCATTTGATGACAGAGGGGAAACTGAGACGCAGAGGGGTGACAGATTTACTCCCTGGCCCAAGGTCCTTAGCTGGGGCATTTATTCCTTTATGGATTTCTCTCTGTATCCTCAGCAGCCTGCACAGTGTTTGGGATGCAGTCACTTCCCGAGGACACTAAGGAGGACAGATACTCATGGATCATCTACTGCAAGCCAACTCCTCTGAAGAACACAGAGAGTGCCAGGGAGAAATAACCACAGCTGCTGCCCCTGAGGAACTGTGGCAGGGGAGCCAGCCAAGCCAGGAAGGACAATATCACTAGCATTCATCACACGCATTTCTAACCCCTGCATGCATATTAATCCATTTACTCCTCCAAATCTACAAAACACCAACTGTCACTTTCCCCATTGTACAGGAGAGGAAACTGAGGCAGAGCAAAGCTATGAAGCATAACCAAACAATAAGGTGAGTGTTTAAATTTTTAAATATCGGTGACAGTAAGACACATTGTCGTTAACCATCAAGGCACTCCTCCTTGCTTGGAACATACTTAGCCCATCGCCCTGGCCACATTTTGAAGCAGTTCTAGAAGTCCTCTTTCACGAGTATCTTGGCCGTGCTATCGTAGCTGCCTGTGTCTTACATAGATTTAAAATGTTTACAGTAGCACTCAGCAGCAGCACTTACCATTTTTTAAATCACTCCTCAAAGATACTGGTGAAAGAGGGTTTCCAGAACTGCTTCAGAAAATGGCCAGAGAAATGGGAGGAGTGTGTTCAATCAAAGCAAGAGGGAGTATTTTGAGGCAGATTCATGGCAAGGTGACCTTGAGCAAGCCACTTATGCAGGGAATGGTAGATTCTGCCTGGACTAGACAGCAGGCCCTTACGGGACTGGAAGACTATAGGAAGACAGGGTCTAAACCTTATGTGCCAAGAGCGTTGTGGGAACGGGAACTGTGCTCAGCATATCTCCTGCTGGTAGGGCTGGGACATGACACATGAGAGGGCTCTAGGGGGACAGAGTCCAAGGAGAGACTGAGACGGAGGAGGAATACATCACGAAGGAGTAGGAGATCCTGGACTGGAAGCTCCTGTATAAGCTATCTCTGATCTCAAGTACCTGGCACAGGGCCTGGCCAGGAAAAGGCATCACAGAATAGCTCATGAATGAGCAAATGAGTGAATGTGCCCTCAGGAGACAGCAGTAGGGGATTGGGTCAGATCTGGCCTCATCCTGGGACTTCCTCTGAAGATTTCCACTACTGCTACTACTGTTTCATGGGATTAGAAGTGCTGGCCAATGTCCTAAGACAAGAAAAACAAATAAGAACAACTAACATTTGAGAAAAAGGAGACAAAAGTATGTCCTTTGCAAACCATATGAATGCTTGTCTAGAATATTCAGAAGTTACTGAAATACTAGTAGAGCTAATAAAATACCTCAGTGAAGGGGATAGTCATAGATTAAACAAAAAAAGTACAAAAATGCAAAAACCAAGAGTTTTCTTCAATGGCTAAGAGCCAGTTAGAAAATACAATAGGGAAGACTACTCCAATCATAACAGCAACAAAAACAAAAAGTTTCTAAGTATAAATTTGAAAAGAAATGTGCAGGGATTATGCAATAAAAACTATAAAAGTTTACCAAAAGATGTTTTTAAAACCCAAGCAAATGGGAAAACATTTCGTGTGTGTACATAGGAAAGCTTAATATTTTAAAGATGTTAGTTCTTCATAAATTAATATACACATTTCATACAATTCCAATAAACATCCTTTTTTAAGGAAATTAAGGTGGCCACAAAGTTTGCTGAACGGAGAAAACTGCTGGAAATATATTTTAAAAGAGGAGAGAAGAGACACATAGTGCAGTAAATGTCATATAAAATAGTATTTTACTAATACTAATGCTAATGCTTACTAAGTACAAATAAACAAACAAAGCAATGAAATAGACCCTACAACAATCAATGTAAGAAATCTTGTTTAATAAATGGTTAGATAATGTTGGAGGCCTACTTTGTATTCTACCCCTCCCCATTAAGATGACTTCTAGATGGTTTAAAAATTTTAATAGTACAAATGACATTATGAAATTACTAGGAATAAAAGTGACTACCTCTCTGATCTTAAGATGGAAAAGACACTTCCAAGTATAAAGACAAAACAGGGCTTGGGGTGTAGCTCAGTAGTAGAGCACATGCTTAGCATGCGCAAGGCCCTGGGTTCAATTCCCAGCACAAGGAATCGAGGGAGGAAGGAGGGAGGGAAGAAAAAGAAATCATAAATTTTACTTATTGGCAAAGCCCTCTCCAAATTAGATGACATAGCATAAATGCCTAGTAAGTTAGCTATTAGTGTTAGTATTTTTTATTAGCAGCAGCACATGTTTGCAGTTCATAACATTTACATTCCTTGTCGGGAGTGGACACATGTACATAGCACACCTTAACATTTTAATTCCTTTTTATTTGGTCCCCTTTCCTTCTTTAAACAGACAAACAAACAAACTTGCATTTGTAAAAATCATTATAAAAGCCCTTTACAGGCTAACAACACATTGGCAAATATTTGCAACATACATGAAGTTTAATATAGAAATATAAACAATTTTCACAAGTCGCTAGAAAACACCACCATCCCAACCTCCAAAATCAACCAACTCACAAATGACAAAGAGCATGTAAAAGTGAACATAAGAAAAAATTCCATCTCATGGATGAGCAGAGAGTGAGGTGAATAGTGAATTCGCCTGTCTATGTCTGTCTGTCTATCCATCTGTCATGGTGCTGGGAAATGAACCCAGGGTCTTAACACTGAACTACATCCTCAACTCTTTTTTTTTTTTTTTTTTTTGAGACAGGGTTTCACTAAGTTGCCAGGCTGGGCTCAGACTTGCAGCCCTCGTGCCTCCGCTGCCCAGCACTCTGGGATTACAAGCATGTGCC